TTGCAGAGCGATCAGTTTCAAGAAGATTTGTACCCTGATACCATTGGCACATGTCCCGCGCTATCTGCTAGAGATTGGATCAGCGGCATGAACAATCCACCGATCCTGATCTCTCTCAAAACAGGTCTCGTATCTTCGAATAGTGCCTTTCATTAAGTAGAGCCGTAAAATTCTGCATTCGAGCAACAGACTGTGTGTGTGTGTGTATGTGTGTGTGTGTGTGTGTGTGTGTGTGTGTGTGTGTGTGTGTGTGTCTTCGATATCGCGTGTACGATATCGACATCTTTAAATCGAAATTGATCATTGTCATTGTTATCAGGTGGCAGCATCTCTACGCATAAGCCACGAGTATACAAGCCACCGCAATTATTACCTCCAACTACCGATCTGAATAATAAGAAGAAATTTGCGTTTCTGTCTACGGAAACCATACCGGATTACAGACCGGTGGAATTGCACGATATGTCGGAGAAGAGCCAGAAAACGTCCAGCAATCAGAGCACAAAATTTCAGCAACTTCAGCAAAAGTTCGGGAATGTCGCTATGCAAGTACGAATATTGTGCACATCCAATGTAGTATGTCATGTTGTTGATGTATATCACGTACTCTCTATATATCTGACCGTTGCCTTCTTTCGTCAGAAAAATATCATGTCACCTCCGCTCAACGACAACAAAGTTATGGAAACTGTTGATATCCCGAACAACGAGGCGGAACTTCGATTGGCATTGGCTCGTCAAACCGACGAATTGAGGCTCGTACGACGGCAACTTGCCAATAGTCAACTGCGCGTTAAAGAATTAGAGGACCAAGTGAGAAAACTCCAGCACTAATAAAACTTACGATGATACCAATATACTCTTGCTTCAATCTCAGCTTCGAGCGAAAGCTTCTTCCAGCTTTTTTATCGTTAAACGTGGTTAACGATTGGTACTTAAAGATCGTATTTATGCACTATTAACGAGATGATAACGAGCGAGAGCCTAAGCTTCCGAAAATTTTGTACCGACACAACACATTCTGCTTAGGACCTTCCATTTCGTTTCATACGATTTCACGACATTTCGTACATGGCTATCAGCACAGAAACAGACACATTTCAATCCAATTTTTCGGTTCGGTTCGTCGTCATTGCATTATGCGGAAGAGTTGTGTTTGTAGTACGAGAATTTGTCATGTTGATATCGCGATCACACTTCTGAGGCTTTCAAGAAAGTGAGCCATATTTATTGTGTGAAAAATTGTACCTGTACATGCATACCTGGATGTGTAAAGATTGGATATTGCGTGCGTGTATATTTATACGCATGAACAATCGTGGTTAAGATTATAAAACCGAGCTCGATATCTTTAGACAAATGGGAGCATAAAAGTAATACACATACACATTGTGTGTGTGTGTGTGTGTGTGTGTGTGTGTGTGTGTGTGTGTGTGTGTGTGTGTGTGTGTGTGTCCGTCGCACATTATTATCGAATAAATCACTCAAATTTATCTCATCTTACTTTTCGAGGGTATATCGTATTTTAGTACTAGTCCATTATAACCAATCATTTATCAATTTATATTGCCATTTTGTATTAATTCATTATTTAACTGATTACACATTTAGAATTCGATATAAGAAAAAGAGTCGTCGGACAACATTAAATAGATTAGGCATACGATATGTTGTTTCTCGTGTATTGTCACGTTGTTGATCATTCCTCCGCTCTGACTCGCTTGAAATTTCTCCATAAATGTGGTGGTAGATGAAGCAAATTCATTACGCTTACGAGATTGCACGACGCTCTACAATACTATCTATGCTATCTGCTGTATCATATTATACATAAGAATGAGTTGTAACTTATCGAGCATTTTTGCTATCGCATGCATCTTTCACTGCCATCTGTACTGCCTTGATGTGTCGATAGCAATAAAAATGTATACGTGGCAGTGATGATATATACTTGCTAAATATTACATTCAGTTACTAAATGTTACGCTCAGTTCTTCTGGAAATTATCTCGCGCGTGAAATTTCTTGTACGATCCATATATACATATGCGCGCGCGCGCATACACACACATACACACACACACACACACACAGAGAGAGAGAGAGAGAGAGAGAGAGAGAGGTGTGTGTGTGTGTTATGTATGTATGTATAATGCAACGTGTGCATGTACGCGGAATTACCAAGTTTATTGTATATTGTATAATCAATGCCATGAACAAATACAAATGATGCATCTATCTACATTTCGATTCAAAGAATGTAACGTTTACACTCAATGTTGATTTCGTTTACTATGATTAACTTGAATTGAAAAATATGATAGCAAATATACTAGAAAATCTATTTCTAGCGTTAGTCCTATGATTGAGGACTACACATTATTATACGGAATTATATATTTCTGCTTAATAACAAAAATAAAATCGTCTAACGATTTATACGTTTATATATGTATTTGTCATACAATGTGCAATTGTACCGTAAATCGATAAATATAGTACCTGGCTAGATAAATATAGCGTCCTGCTGCGCTTCGTCATATATCGCTTGTATTGAGAAATCCGTTGTGTCATTTTATCACAACAACAAAATCTACCGAACATAAGTCTTGCGAGACATTATAATTATCGTTATTAACGCATATCCTTGGTCCTTGGTCTTTTCTATTGGTCAATCACCAATTATCTCTAATAAACAGTTGTCAACAGTTAAAGGTATTCAATGAGATTCTGTTTGATATTGAATAAAGATTATCGTTGAGAAGCTTACATTGGATTGGATATTACATGGATGGAATTATTACGCTTTTTTAGAAGCGTCAATTTATATACAATCTGCATCAGAAGGAGTATTGGTAAAGTTTCTACATAGCGTCAATTAGTTTGCTAGATATTTACAATCACGTATATCTATATATTCCAGTAAATTTTCACAGTATTTTTATGTAAGGACGCAATACTAATAACTTTTGTATAATAAACGTCAACGTAATGAATTTTATTACAAATTATAAATTTACTCGCAATGCCCGTATATACATTATGTTTGTCAAAATCCATCATCGAAATTCAATCGTGTAATATATAGTGTATAAACAAGCAGGAAAAAAATGTGTGTGGTTATAAATGAATTTATCATCAGTATATGTGGCGCTCATCTGATAAATTTATATCGATGGAAACGATGCGTTGTGAAGAAAGAAAATTTATATATATACATATACACACACACACACACACACACGATATGCGGTAAACGGGAGATCTATCAACGAAATAAAAAATAAAAAGAAAACATTTAGTCGTATCATTTTTGTTTTATTAATAATATACGATATAAAAACATTTTGTTGCTTTATCATAGATAAAAATTTACAAGTATTATAGTAATCAAGTAATACAAACATACATTCATTCATTCTCACTCATACCCCTCTCTCTCTCTCTCTCTCTCTCTCTCTCTCTCTCTCTCTCTCCCTCCCCCCCCTCCCTTTGTTGGTACAAACGTACACATCTGCTGGACTAAACATATCTTAATTATACAATGCTCTTTTAGTTTTTCTTCTAGTTGTGAGTAAAATGGACGGGCATGTTTCACTTTGGTACACATTACATTCGTCACCACTTGTCTAATATCTACAGAAATATATAGGAATGTGTGTGTGTGTGTGTGTCTGTGTGTGTGTGTGCGTGCGCGCGCGCGCGCGTGCGCTTGCGTGTGAAAGATTACTTTAACGTAATGTTTAGTAACGTAAAATAAAAACCATGAATATTTCGTCAGCCTCGGATGGGAAATTGTTCACGAGTCATTGTTCCGACTCATCGATTAATTGACTGAATTGATCGAACCAATCTATTCTTATAGTCTATCGAATCCTATAGGCCCGTATAAAGGCGCAATCGTACGTATTCGTTGCTTTCTACCTGTGAAACAATCTCTCCCAAGCCATTAAAAGACCCATTGGTACGATCCATGTACTTTTGGTCGGCATTAAGGACGACGCTGGATTGCAACCGTCGCTGGAACACGTGAACACGCAGGTGCGATATGTCAACTTGTCGCCTGGCTGTTTTACGTAGTCGCAATAATCTCCCATGTGTACAGCTGAGCAAAATCGTTTTGTACCGATGCCACCTGTTTTCAAACACAACGTTAGCATTTTCCTGTGGAAATTCAATTCAAACTAAGTAAACTAAGGAGTTTGGATTAACGTTTATGGCGAAGGGAATTTCGGCAGCATCGGTGATAAAGTAGTTTTGGGATGGTATTATATTATTGCTGATGCATGCTTGAAAAGTGTATGCGGATACGCAGGATCTTATCAACATAGAATCAAATATAGGATTGTCATATTAAAGCTGCTAGCAAGTGAGGAAAATGTAAGACTAAAGAATCTCATTTTCTTGCACACTTAATAATTGGATGGTCGATCGATCTTGAAAATACGGAGCGATTAAGCAGGGGGACGCTCGCGTATGCATGCAGCATACACACTATACGCTTGCTTGCTACGGAAAGCAGTAAAAGAGAGGTGTTATCTACAACACACACAACACACGCACGCAGATTATACAACCATTTGGTGTATCTTTAAAACGGCATGCAGATGACGCGCATAATTCGTTGATAGCAGCACGACAGAAAAGTCAATTATCAATTTGCTCAGATGATCCAAATCATTTCTTTCTTTTTCCCTCGATCAGTTTCGATAAATTTTTAACGCGACTGTAAATAAAACGCACGACAGAGAACGAAAGGAATAATTCGCATGCACACACCTGACGACAAAAAATACACAGGGTTTGTTCTTTCCAGCTGAACTTTTTGTGTTGGTTCAAAAAGGTTGCGCCGTTGCGTTCTTCTTCTTTCTAGCATAGCAGATAGCAGAAATTACATCAGACATGTTACTGTGTGTTCTTTACACCAGTGTGGCAGAACTTGATGCAACACAGTTTACTGTACCGCTTGCGTCAGGTTTTACCGGAGTTAGTACAAGCAGCTCAGCATTACATTGCAGGGCCAAAATTTACACCGGTTCAGGCAATGTATTTGAATAGGACAGACTTACAGGCTGTTAGATACTTGTGCAGTTTTTACTTTACTAATATTATATATAATCAATTATGCCATTATGAAGTAACAGTATATTCCCATCATGTTCTTCATCTCAGAGAGATTTTGCGTGTAACAGAGATGTGGACAGTATGGTAAAATAAAATCTTCATCTGAGGAGTCATCAACAATATACAACGCTGCAACAACGCTGTGTCGCGCTGTTTGTTTATTTCCTGCACCTGTGGTCTCCTTTTCTATCCTATCTGGGGCATTTCTGCACCTACGAACTTTTGCTGTACTCGTCAGCGATTCTAATTCTGAACCGCTGCATTGGAAATAGCGCGCGCGCTATTTCCAATGCAGCGCTAGTTCAACTGAAAAGAACAGACCTACAGCGAAACTTGACTTGATAAGAACCTCCGTAACGGCCGACCGATTTGATGCAATAACGTGCTCCATAAATATGACTGCAATTGGTCGGCATCAGGGAATTTTCAACCAATTCACCATCCATACATTTCCATTCATCCTCTGATGTGCATTGGTAGCAATCCAGAGTGACCGCTTCATCGATCAAGAAAGCAACCATTAAATTTCGAAGTGTCGAAATTACGTGCGTTCTTTGACGTTTGCGAATGTAAACGTGACGTAAAAACCTTTTTCGGTTACATGTGTCTCGTAAAAAGGAAGAAGGCGAGAGGGAGACAAAGTGTGAGAAAAAGGAAGAATTATCCACAATTATACAATAATCCTCTAAGGGGCCGTAGATTAGTAGGACGGAACAAACAATCGAAATGGTTAGCGCGTTTATTGTCTCTCGTAGCGGAATTGTAAGTAGTTAAACGTTCCGTGAATGACGACAGAAAGGCATGAGGGGGAATCGCTCAAAGTCGCTCGCGCTAAATGCGCGCCAACATGCATGCTCGATTAATCAGCTGTCCCCGCACCGCATTAGGTTAGTTTGATATCTAAGCTCTAGTTCCCAGATACCGAAAGGTGACAGCTGCTTTCATAGCTGCTTCATTTACCCTCGAAACGGCCTGTGTGCTTAACGCAATATTGCGCCCCGTAAACGTCATCGCACGCTTTCGGCTGCAAATCCACGTCGCCCGACAGAACCTCGTTACACTGGAACGGGTAATCGTTGCTGGTGCTATTGCATTGATAACATCGGATGCTATGCCCTGAATGAAGAGCCATTTGTCAAATCAAACTACGTAAAAGGACGAGTGAGTGATCTTAATCTCTTGGATCCTTAACAACATCGCGATCGGCGGCGGGTGGTGTATTATCGAGCCAGCGCGCGTTAAAGCCATAAGCCACCAGAAACGATCGCACAATTTGCTGCCTCTACCGACGCCGACGTCTGATTATTTATTAAGATCCGCGCGCACATGGTCTGCTCGAAGTGTACGCTAAAATCGCGGATCACGTACACACGTCCCGCCCCGCCCCGCCGCGCCCGAAACGAACGGCGCTGCTAACGCGATAAATAACGTGAATGACGCATGACGAGCATGACGGATATTGGCCGTTAACCCTTACCTGTTTCTACCAGCAACAGGAATATCGTCAAAAGCGCGTACACGTTGTACCACCAGCGGCACGTGCTACCACCAGCGACGATCATTGCAACAAAATTGCAGCTTCAATTGCAGATACCGAAATCGGCCGGAGAAAGTAAGCCAACGAACGACGCCCTTCGAGCAGAGACAGACAGACAGACAGACAGAGAGAAAGAGATAGACTCGCTGCGCGACTGACGCAGGACGCTGCGGTGAGACGCGAACAACAACGCGCGAGCTGCTCTGGCCCTGCTAAGAGGCTCGCCTAGCGCCACTCAACGGAATTAACCAGATCTTTGTTGTCAGGCTTGCATTTTGAAAACTCTATAGATTTAAGAACCACCGACGCGAGATACTCCGAAGGACAGTAGCGTACGTACCAGCAGAGAGAAGAAGGAGAGGTGAGGTGTCACGCCGGCCGCTTTTAGCCGAGCCCAGTGTGAGGCGCCCTCTGTACAATCGTGCGCATGAACTACGATGCCAATGTCCACGACTCTTTTCTGATTTCCCCTACCGCGCACACACCATAGCCCATAGCCACAGATGTCTATACTATACTAGATTGCTAACTTCGATCTTTGACCCATACAAGAGCTGTGTCCCGTCTATTTTCCGGTTCGGCCATGAAGGCCGCCAAAACATGGCGGCGGTGTGTGTGTTTGTAGTGCGTACGTGAGTATCCGATGCGTGTGTAGTAGTGCTGTACTGTAAGTATATGATACCTGATGTGTCTACACTGATGTGTCGTATCTACTGCTATTTATATTAGTAAAACTGCAAATATATAAACGAGATAATGCCAAGTACATGTTGCATTGTTAATTGCAATAATACGAGTAAAAAAGGATATCACTTATTTAAGTAAGTAGAATACATTTATATATAATAAATGTTCGAGGTTTGTAATATGTGAGGGTTATCTTGCAATTAAACATTGTTAATATTTCAGATTTCCGATAAAACGTCCAGAGATTTTTAAAAAATGGATTTGTGCAATCGGAGGAAATTTTACACCAAAAAAACACCATGTAATCTGTAGTGCTCACTTTTTACCTAAAGATATCATGGAAAAAGCGGATATAAGTAGTGTTCTATTAAAAAATTTGGCTGTGCCATCAATAGCTCTGAGAGCTCCTGCTTGTGACACTGTTCCTGCAGTGGAATGTAATAGTGATCCTCTGGTACAACCTGTTACGAGTTCCATGATGGAATGTGATACTATTCCTGCGATAGAATACTTAACACTTAGAATGTATTCACTTACAAAAAGAACGAAAGATAGAAATCCTGCAAGTAACAGACACAAATTTACAAAATTAATATTATTTAATAACACATAAGTTGCATTTTATTCTTTATATGTATGTAAAAAATATTAATACAAATACTTTGACATATTTTGAACTGTATATATTCAATTTAATTTTAACCTTTACCAAACACTTAGATTAGCAACACCTTATTAATACACACATCTTTAAATTATATTCTTTCTTGTTCGTATTTTTGAAATTTACAATACTTATTCGGCATTATCTCGTTTGTAGATTTGCAGTTTTACTAACATAAATAGTAGTAGACACATCAGGTGTCACATACGCACTACCACGCACTACTACATACGCATCGGGTATTCACATACACACTACAAACACACACCGCCGCCATGTCTTGGCGGTCTTCATGGCCGAACCGGAAAATGGTAGGGACACAGCTCTTTTGAGAAGTTAGCAATCTAGTATAGTATAGACATCTGTGACCATAGCCCATAGCCGACTCGGTCTATCCGTGTGGACCACGCGACCTCGGCAATCGTCGGGGCGCGCCGAGCGACAGAGAGATATCATTCTCTCCTTCTCGCTCTCGTGTTCGCTCAATGACGCGAGCGAAAATATCTTTCCCTCTTTCTAGCTCTCGTTCTAGCTCAGCGACGGGAGCGAGGCTAAAGCCCAAAACACAATGCTAGGCGATAGCGATAACATTAAAGCTCTTGCAGACCAGCGCGATGCGCGACGCGACACGCGATACGCGACACAGGATCGCAAGAATAGATCTTTTCATGTCTTCACATAGGCTGGTATTCACAGTCGGATCTTATATTTAAGATCGTCTTAAATTTATCTTCAGATGCTACACAAATCATTTCATTGGCTATAGGGTATCTGAAAGTGAACTTAAGACGGTCTTAAATACAAGACCTGACTATAAATACCGGCCATAGACGCGATGATCTTTTCAATTGGTCTGTTCTTTTTAATAGCACTACTGAATTGATGCAATAAGTTAGAGTGAGACAAATATATTTTTCCCGCTTTAACTTATTGCATCAGTGCAGCTAAAAAGAACAGAACAGATAGTGTATGCTAAGTTTGTAGGACGCAAAATACTGACAGTATTTTTTCAATGGAATTATTAATGAGAGAAAGGAAACAATTTTTACTTTTATTATATCTTTCGCGAATAAATAATAGAGAAATTGATACAAATATAAAATGTTTATCTTGTTTGTAGCTGCACTACCACTTACAATATAACTATATTATTTTCTTTGTATTTCCTTAGAAATGTATCTCGTAAGTTTTTCCACTTTTTTTTACAAATATTAGGGTCTGTATCTTTTTAAGTAAAAATGGCAATTATATGTTAAATAATAAAAGTGTAACAATGTAGAAATTTAAATGGCGAATAAAATATAAAATGAATCTTTTTTGAGTATATACTAAGGGCTCGACCCACTTCTTCCCAAGCTCTTTGTATTATGTTCATTCCTCTCATTTTTATATCCAATCTGTGATCCCATAAACATGACCTTTCTTGTACTTCTGATATTAAAGTTTTTTCAAATACTTCAAATGCTTGCGAGTTTAAAGATTTATTGGGCTGAAAATTTAATATATAAATAGAATTTATTTAAAATGACTATTGTTAAACAAATGATGTCAGTCAGTGACTAACCTAGCATAACTAAAACTAATTAATAATTATTTATACTTACATCTATATTTTCTATATCTGCTTCCATACTTTCGTCGAGGTATTCATAATCTTCATAATCTGCCATAATAAATTTAACCGTCTGATCCGGAACACATATTGCTGAAGCTTGGCAGAACGAGAAGAACTGGACTAATTGATTCGCGCGGGACGAGATGCTGTTTCCGCCGATAGCAACCTCGCTCCTCGGTCGGCAACGCTCATCGCACGCGACAAATCTTCAAACTTGGTCAACTTTTTTGCGACGTCGCGATCTATCATGCGACGGATGTGCGACGTTCGAAAAAGCTGTACGCTCATTGGACATCGCGTGTTACGTCGCGCATCGCGCTGGTCTGCAAGAGCCTTTAGGCAATAACGATAGCGTTAGCATATCAATAGAAACAGAACACTCCGACACTAGGGTTACGTCCCGATATTCACTGCCAGCACTGAAAATCTATAATATATGTGACATAAACTATATATTTTCAGTACTGGCAGTGAATATCGGAACGCAGCCTAGGGAATGCATATGCCAATGCAGAATGGAATACGGAGCAGGCAACAGCGACAAAATTTCCGACGAGTTGGAATTCTGTATCTATTGTCTTGTAGCCTATCAATCATAGCGTTCAGATTTTTGCCGCGTTTCCAATCAACATATCTCGAGTCTACCATATTTTTAGGTTATTTGACAGACTGTGATCAGCCGAAGACACCGAAAACGTCTCGAAAATACCTGAAACGAATATTCGCTAAAATATAACATACGAGACAATGGTCCGTATTTTTAACCCTCTTTTATCGATAAAAATGCTTTAAATGTGGCTTCTCAATCAATTAGGTGGCTCGTAATTCTCTCTCAGAGGCACTTTTATCGATAAAAGATGGCTCAGAATATGGGCCAATGTAGATACCCTTGAATACGTTTCAGAAGTACTTACCAAGTAATATTTAACTTAAAACAAAGTATATATTCCTAAATATGACTAAAAATCGCACAGTCAAAAATAAATTAATAGGGCCAGAGCACAGACTTCTGCACAATAACGCATAATGCACAACGCATAAGAGAATCAACCAATCAGAGTTCTTCATTTCTGTCCTGAGGATGGAAATGAAGAAAACTAATTGGTTTATTCTCTTATGTGTTATGTATTATGTGTTATGCAGAAGTCTGTGCTCTTGCCCATACGCTTTGACAATGGTTATGCGCTATGTATCATAAACATGGAAGAGCAGACTACAAGATTTCTGATTGGTTGGCTTTTATTCCTGTCGCGCCATTGTGCAATGGATAGCGATAATTTTTATCACTATTTCTATTCTATCACTATTCCCTTCCCAGACAGCACCGGACATCCAATGGATGTGATGTTTCACGTCCAATTTATGTCCATATGTCCGATTTACGTCCGTGGACATAAATTGGACGTAACGGAGATGTCCTTATTGAACATCGGACCTGTAGGACGTCCGATGTACGTCCATCGAACGTGCTATGTCCGAAGTTGTGACAAACATACGTCCTATGGACATCTTTTGTAAAAAAAAAATGGACATATAATGGACGTACAATGGACATCCGTGTGCTGTCTGGGTTGTTCCAGTCGCTATCGCCTAGCACTGTGTTTAGGGCTTTATTCGTCGACTATGAAACTAGAGCGCATTCTTAAGTCTGAACTTAGGATGTTCTTACAAATAAGTCCTGACTATGAATACGGCCCTATGGCCGTCTCCGTAGCCGTCGCTTTGCCGCCTAGCCCCGTCGACTTGGCCCAGTGGTGCGATTCTGTAACTCGTTATTGGAGTTAACGACAGTTTCGTTATTGTTGCACAGCTTTTCTACGGTATACAAAAGCTGCGCAACGATAACGAAAGTGTCGTTAATTCCAATAACGAGTTACAGAATCGCGGTACAGTGGCCTTACCAGCCTCGCCACCAGCCGCGGGGCCGCGTCCACGTAGCCGTCGTTCTGTCGTCTAACCCCATCCAGAAAACTCTAGAACACTTCCACATTCTGGAACTAAAAAATAAAATTCTGCAATTCCAGATTTTTAGAAGGTTCAGGAATTTTCTAGAACGTTCGAGAATTTCTTTAGAAGGTTCTAAAATATTTTGAAAGATTCTAAAACGACTTAGAAGATTCTAGAATCTTCTAAAAAATTCTATAGACCACGTGGGCAACAGCCATGTCCATCATTGCCCGGTGCGGCGGAGGACACGGCGCACCATACGCAGGTTTCATGCGAAGCGTGGGACCAGCAGCGCCGTGTCCTCGCCCGGGCAGTGGAGAGCGCGGAGGAGGTGTGGACGGCGGCAGCCTCCTTTGCGGGGGACGCAACGGTCCCGCAAGAAGGCCGCCGAATGGGAGCGCCGTTCTGGCAACCGTATCAGGGAGTGACGGCGAAGGCGGTTCTCTCCCGGCCTCGACAGCGGGCCCGAAGTGACGCCAATCGAGGAGCAGCCTCCGAATCGTCGAAGGCCTCCTCGACTGCCACGGGCCAGCCACCGTCTGCATAGGGGGGGGGGGGAGGGCGACAGGCATAGAGCCTGTCTCCCTCTGCGCGACGGTATAGTAGGAAAAGGGAGAGCGGGAACACCGTTTGGGGACGGGCCCCGCTATAACCCGTTACTCCCTGGCGAAAAGGGGGGCTAGGAGAGAGGGTAGGTGTCCCCCCTCTCCTCTATTAGGACCAGGTGGCTAACCCGACCGGGCAACCGATCGGGGCGCCGCGCTCCCGCACCCTTACGGGAGGGACGCGGCACTTGGGCGAGGGGCTCCCTCAGAGCCCCAAGGCCGGGGTATCGTGGAAGCCATACCACAGTAATTCCTCCGATCATCTCCCTTAACTACGGCCCGCCTGGCGGATACCCTGGTGGGGTTTTAGCCGGTAGGAGTCCGGCATAACACCCATCACCACAAGGGGCGGGGGTGTCTATGAGAATTACCCCACCGTCATAAGAAAAAAAGAGAAGCGGCGAGTATGTAATCAGACGTCATGTAAAGCAACAACCACGTGAAACGATGAACACGTGGAGCCGGTCACCACGTCACAATCTTCTAGAACATTCTGGAATATTCCAGAAAATTCTATAATCTTCTATAATCTTCTGCCAAATGAGGCCGCGCGGCAGCGGCCCCTGGCAGAGGCGACCGGGCCGGTCAACGATGTTGTAGCGTCGGCCAACGACGGAGATTCTAGAACTTTCTAGAAGATTCCAGAATATTTTAGAAGTTCGTGACGTACCACAGGCTACGTGATCGTCGTTTCTAGAATGTTCCAGAAGATTGTAGAATTTTCTTGAATATTCCAGAATGTTCTAGAATATCGTTACGTGGTCACCGGTCGCGTGTTTGTCGTTTCACATGGTTGTTTCACATGACGTTTGATTACATAACCGCTGCTATTTTTTTTATGGCGGAGGGAAATCCTCATGGATACCCCCGCCCCTTGAGGTGAAGGTGGTTATGCCGGACTCTTACCGGCTGAAATCCCACGGGATGTCTGCCAGGCGGGCCGTAGTTGGGGGAGGAGAATCGGAAGTATTACGGTGAAATTCCCTTCGCGAAACCCCGGCCTTGGGGCTCTGAGAGAGCCCCTCCCATAAGGGTGCGGGGCGCGGCGCCCCCACCGGTTAGTCACCTGGTCCGAACAATGGAGAGAGCGGACACCCACCCTCTCTCCTAGCCCCCCCCCTTTTCACCAGATAGTGGTGAGTTAGTGGGGCCCGTCCCCAAATGGGGTTTATACTTTTTTTTTTGTCACGCAGGGGAAATCCTCATGGATGCCCCCGCCCCTTGGGGAGGGCGGGGGTTATGTCGGACTTCTACCGACTAAAACCCCTGCGGAGTGCCTGCCGCTCAGACCATGGTGGGGGGAGTCAGGGGGACTACGCCTGCATTCCCTCCCCGACACCCCGGCACCGGGGCTCTCATGGAGCCCCACGCCAAAGTACCGCGCCCCTCCCAGACTGGGAGTCAAGGGCGTCGGCGGTGCCCCGGCCGGGTTGGCCTTCCGGTGTTAATTAGGAGAGAGAGAGTACACGCGTCCTCTCTCCTCGCCCCCGCCTTCCCCCTTCCCTACTGGGTGGGTAGAGGGGGCAGGGGTGCGAGGCCCGACCCCAACCGGTCCTCACTCCCCTTCTCCCTGCCATCACCGACACCCGGGGTGAGCGAGAGGGCTTACCCCCTCTTCCACCCACCCCCATCGGTACGTCGAAACGGGGTCTATACTTTCCCATACTTTAATCAGGACAATTATTCTTGAATAATGAATACAGAATTAAAATTTTTTTATTATAAAAATATATCGTTTACGAAAAAATAATCACAAAGCGAAATAAAGTAATATTTTATTTTGTCAATCTTTTTGATGAAATAATACTTTTATAGTAATATTCTACATATGAACATTTTGTAATATTTATCATGTATAAAGCTCTTCCTCTACATTTAACTCACCTCGTATCTGTTCTGTATACACTTTTCTGCATTTCTTTGTAAGCTTAAACTTTTGTTCACCTAGACCTATGATAGACAAAGACGGAGATTCAATTTGGATACTATCTCTGTCTCTTTCTCGCTCTCGCTCTCTCTCTCTCTCTCTCTCTCTCTCTCTCTCTCTCTCTCTCTCTCTCTCCCTCGGTTCAAGATCATATGGCGAAAATACAGGCAGTGCTTCCAGTTAGTTCTATAGTTCAATGCGGGCTTGTTATGTCTGATATAGCGACATCTAACGACGTCACGAGAGATCTTGAAACAAATCGTTACCTGCCGATTAGTTACAAATTTTCCGCCACAAGGCTTGAATTAAATCTCAATAAAAGATCGACCGGGCAATATGCTTCTTTACGCTCTATTTTCAGATAATACAACCAAGCAGCACAAGTCAGCACGCATTTACGCTACTCTACGCATGTAAAATTAAAAGTATACAGTCACACGACGCAATTAATGAAATCGAGTCATCCGATTGATGGTCGAGTTAATAACCGACAACGAGACAAACAGTGTGAATATCATCGATATGTTTGTCGAAACGCAGCTCTTTATTATGTACAGATTGGTATACAAGATGCGGCTGATTGTAACGCCGATCTTCTTCTCAGGCATTACTGATTCATCAACCGTTGCCGCTTAGCGGCTCGTTCTTCCAATTCGACACAATGCTTGTTGAACATCACTTTTAACGTCGGATACATCAGTGGCAAGAGAGGCAATTGCGACAGGCTGACTTGCATATTGTCGTACGCTATACCGACATTACGCAGTCTAGAGTCATTCTCGCTCTGCGGCAAATACGGTATAGCCGCGTAGCGTTGGCTAAAGTGCGTCAATAGCGTGAACTTGGACCTCATCTGTTCACCCATTTCTATGGCTTGCGACACCGTCGAATGATACTTCAACTTTGCTTCTTTTACAAGATCATCCTCCATAGTCGCCTCGTGAATCAGTAGATCGCAATCTTGTCCGAGTTTCACGAGATTCTCGCAGGGCATGGTGTCACCGCTGAAACGACATAACGTCTTTGTGAATGAGATTACTCGCTGCACACGGCCGCCTGGTGTTAAATATAACGCCCAAAAGGGAGAGATAGTATACACGGTGATACACGGGCAATCTGCGAATTGCGGATTTGCGAAGAATCGCGCATGGATTGCGGTGATGGATCTTTACTATTTCGCTCACCTGTAAACTATTTTGTTTCCGTCCTTCAGCTCTATGGAAACACCGTAAGAGTAAGGACAGTGATTCACGTACACTGTTCTGATGGCTCGCACATTCACGGTCTTGTACATGTTCTTATATCTGTACTCCATCGGTTCATGCACATCCATAAAGAGCTCGCTGTTCGATATCAATGTTATCCGATGGAAAATAGGCTCGAAACGTTTGTGATAAAACTGCAACCATGCGACGATATGCGCCGGCGCGAACAGATATAAAGGATCTTGCGCGACTTTTCTCCTTTGTTTCATCAGACCAATTAATCCGATGTGATGATCCGCATGCAAATGCGACACGTAAATTGCCTTAAAATTCAATTCGATTTGCTAGTGAGGTGAGGTTGAGTACAAAAAAAAATGTATAAGATTAAACTGCACGACTTCACCGCCCATTCGTTTCGTTTCATTTTTCTCGAAGTGACTTTTCAAACATTTGAAAAAAAAAAAAAAAGTCTAATTACATATATCGCATGAAAATTTTGTACGGGTGTAAACCATCTGAACTATTCCTCCGAGCATGTTACACTGTAACTCCTCTCTTGCGGACACTTTTAAACAAATAATTCTTATTGTCCGTCATTTGAAAACAAACATTCGTTCTCTACAACCGAATTCACTGACTGACGTTTGGCTCATTTTTAGTTGAAAGGAAAGAAGAGATGCGAACGATTCACATACCTTAATTGATCGCATGATATTATCCGCCTCGGACCTTCCGTAAAATTTCACAATCTGCCCGAACGTACCCTCACCGCAATCCAACAACATACTATTGTTCTCGTCGATTCGTAAGAGTATGCCGCTTGTGTTTCTGACTTTACTCGGTATGCTAGAGCCAGTGCCCAGCATAAGGATCTTCGGGTAATCGTTCACGATGGACAATGCCTTCGTTTGGGCGTTGACGTTGGTTTGTAGCTCTGCCAGCGCGTCTAAAAAGCCGTCGATCTCAAATATCTCGTTTACATATTCCTTCGGGTGCAACGATACCTCGGTCTCTGTATCGAATTTCAGTTCCGGTTGCAGGTGGACAGTGTGATGTGTTCTGGAACGATGTATGATACATGGATCTTCTGTCTAAGAGAAAGAAAAAGAAAAAAATACACTTACGGACAAATATAGCTAACACGCGCGCGCGCGCGGACGATCTATATAAAAATAACAAGAGAAATACCCAACCACTCTTGGATACTTGGCGCTTGAAACGCGTCTAAAACAACACATACACGTCTCGAACGAACGGATTTGTGAGCAAATTATAATGAGATACAAATAATAAGAGATATTTATTTGCTCGTGTTAGTTTTTTAAATTACGAATCAGCGAAATAGCTGTACAAATTCCCAGTCCCACGTCATTGATCATATTCAATTCCACTTGCTTTCATCCGCTTTCAGAAAATTGCGATTACAACAGACCGATCCCAGCGGCATTTCAACATAATCTCCGATCAAGGAATTCTTGCAAATTACGCTAATAATCGTAAGCAACTCGATATATCTTGATCGGACATCTTGTCCCGACCAAGACTCCCTCTTATTGTGTATCGCAACCTGCCCTCTTTTCTTAACGTTACACGAAATTGATGAAATTGACGCGGCTAACCCGTGTTTTCTTCTGAAAGCAATCTTCGTTTAAAAAAGGGAATATCTCGGGGTGCAGCATATGGAGCTTGTGCTGATGCTTGTGAGACGCTTCAACACCCATACACTCGTTCTCTTCATTTACGACTATATGACGCGTGTAGGAGCCAAACTTTTCCATCCAATCCACGTAACGAGGATCGTCCATCACCTTCTGAGGTGTAAAGTGTACGACGCAATAGGGCACGTCGTTTTTCATCGACGTTGTCACGTGTTGGTGACGCGCAAAGGCGGTATGACTTACAAAGGATTCTAAATAATCTTCCGACGGGCACTCCACAACTGTGAATCAAGTTTCATGCAAACACGAATAAGAGATCTTTAAAGAACCAGAAAGTGGGTCTGAATGAATGAAACTGAGCCATACCTAAGAAAGTGGGGCCTGGTATCGGCGGAGAACAGACGTCCTTACTCAAAACAACCGTGCCATCTGGCAAAGTAATATCCTTACCAGCTTTGAGCTGACCGAACAGAGGACCAGGCTTCACTCCCTTTTCCACACATTTCTCCAGCAACAGTTTGCCTTGTCGAGGGTGCAATTTACAAATGTAAGACATCGCCTGTGATATCAATTTCATATCTGACTTCTGTCCTGTCACCCAAGATTTATCCTTCTTCTCTTCTGTACTGTCCAGTGATCTTTTAGTATTCGACATGGCCATATAGTCATAATAATTGATATTGTCAACCACTTCCTCTCCTATGTCGGTAGACTCTACTTCGTGCACAGTTGATTTTGCAATGGGAATGTACGTAACAGTCATCACCTGGTCCTTATATGTTTGCAACTCGTCGCATGTGGCTTCGTGTACTTTCAAGTCCTGCAGATTAACAAATCTCTTGATTGCATCAAAAATCTCTACAGTGCCTTTGGGACCATGTATATTGATCTTTGGTACTCCAGCATCTTGTATCGTTAGCAACATTCCAGGCATGCCACCCAAGTTGTCCCAATTAGCAGATGTTATAAACACATGTTCCAACTTTATCAGCTTGTATTTGTGTTCGTGCGCCAGCTTCTGTGTTCCTTCTCCACAGTTAAAAATGTAGCTGATATGACCTGTTGATAAATAAACGCATCTTGGTGCGCCACGAGCTCCGCTGCCTAGAATCTGCGAGGATTGACGTTAGTACGAGATTGATGTACATACATACGCAATGCATGCATATGCGCACGCGCGCGCGCGCGTATATATATGTGTGTGTGTGTGTGTGTGTGTATATATATACACACACACACACACATCACACACACAAATGTACATATATAAACATCGTTTATAACGTTACCAACTGCGTACAACCAACAATTTAATTTTATACGATTTTATTTCAACAAACAATAAGTCACGTATGCGTTATACTCATACCTTACCATGATGCAATACTAACCTGCAACGATACATTCGCACTGGTAACATACATTACAGATTTTCCCTTCATCTTTTGCCTCAACCTTTGTATGTCGGAAATGCGTGAAGGACAGCGCGGCATATTTTTATAACTCTTGCAATGTAACATGAGATCTCTGTGGAGCAAATTACAATCTCCGCGGAAAATACGAAATGGTATCAACGTGTGATATTTGCGCTCTATGATGTGACGTACGAATAAGTATACGTTAGACTTCATTCGTTCTGCCTTTTTCTTTTGTTGGCAGGTGTTGAGGAGTATTCGCCGATTATATTACGAGCGGACGTATTATTACAAAGTAAATTGAACGTACGTGATACACCGCGGTGCAGAATCATAACCTAAATCTAAACCTGACGCCAGCGCCAAGTGCTGTCAGGTGCGATATATTGCGACGCTACAGCGCATGCGTGAGATGACGTACTCCCTGTTTGAGTGAAAGTCTCAGTATCGTATCTTTTTTAAGGTATTATAGCGCCCATATTATACTATGCATTGAGAATTGCAGTCGAGTATTTAGTAAATTAGATAATCTAAATCGTGGTTATTTTAATTGATCTGATAGTAATTCTCAATCTATAGTCTAATATGAGTCTAATACAAATATTATGTAACAGTTACATAGTTGAGTGAAAAATTATAATGTTAATGTAACGTAATTGTTACTTAGTATCCACTGGAATTATAATGTTAATATAACTGATATTTAGTATCCACTGAACAATATAATCTAAGATAAGGCACTCGCGCAAGAAACACGGGAAAATTACACTGGAGCCTGGAAGACAGCTGATCGGATAGCGCGGGCCCCTTCATGGACCCTGCGATGCGCTTTATTGCCGTCATTGGCATAGAGCTCTACGTCATCTCACGCATGCGGTGTAGCGTCGCAATATATTGCACCTGACAGCACTGCCTGACGCATCGCTGACAGATACGCGGCGCGTGGTATCTGATACCAGGGCAGAGAGAAGAAGAAGAAAGAGGTGTCATGGGACGCTTCTAGCCGAGCCTAGAGTCCCTATAGTAAGAGTCTGGCCAATGTTCTAGTTGGATACAAAATGGCTACTACACCTGTACTGCATCTACTGTAATCTCGGTTTTTACGCGTGCACATGCAAGTGATAACATAACATCATTTCATCTTGGAAAAAACTTCGAACAATAAGAGGACTATATATAAAAATATTTATAAACATATTTTAAAAATGACTAGTTGTTGCATACCGGGATACAGAAATAGAAGCGAAAATGGCTTCTATATGAAACGTTTTCCAATAAGTAAAAAACAAAAAATTATATGGTTGAAACAAATTGGAAGAGAAAACTGGAAACCGAAACAATATTCAGCAATTTGTGAGGTAAGCATGTAATTATATCAAATAATAAACAAAACATGTTTCTCATCTAATTGTATTTGTAGGTTCATTTTACTAAAGAAATGTGGGAAAAACCGCGACAGGATGGTTCCAAAAAATTAAAAGCTCAAGCAGTGCCAACAAGTTTTCCTCATACAAAAGTAATGTCGGAATCTTTCGATGGAAAAATAAAGAAATTAAAATATAATAAAAACAACGATGAAAATAATTAAATTATTATTAATAAATATTATTATTAAAATGTTATCGCGTAAAAACATTATTTTTTGTTAACGATACGACGTTTAATTATTTCTTAGAAATGAATTATATAATTGTACATATAATTGTATTTGCCTTATATTAAGCAAAGCAATTATAACATTGTTAATTTCCTTATTGAAAAAATGAAAGATATTGAATGTACTGCATTAAAAACATGTCACAATTTATCCCACAATATTAAAATTCGTTTCATTAATTTTAAAATAAGAAAAAGTTGTCACATTGGAAAATTAGAAAAACCTGTTTTTAATAGTAAAACTATGGCTATGCATTCCGTTATTAGATAAAATTTAATAATCATGTTATTACATATGTAATATTTTTTTAACTTTATTTAATATCAAAATTTAATAATAAAAAAATTGTATTTTAAAAAATGTATTTTAATTTTCCTTTTCCTGTTACTGCTATTCAAATATCCCGCATACTTTGCTATCACTAATTGGTGGCGCCATTTCGTATCCAGCCAATCAAAAATTGGACCACATTGGCCAGACTCTTACTATAGGGACTCTAGCCGAGCCAAGTGCGAAGCGCTCTCTGTAGAATACCGTGCATACGAACTAACGACTAACGACGCCAGTGTCCACGGTTCTTTACTGATTTCCCAATCACCGGTACGCACGCGGTACGCCACGCATTCAGAGCATAGACCCCGGCTCGGTCTATTCGTGTGACACGGATAGATTGTAGATAGGCCGGACGTGCATCGTAGTTCATGCGCACGATTGTACAGAGAGCGCTTCGCACTTGGCTCGGCGCATCGGCGCTAAAACAGAGCGGCCCATGACACCTCTCCTCCTTCCTTCTCTCTGCTCTGGTACAACAGTGTGGTACAGTGCTACACGACTTGCTACGACTCCGAACGGTGGCCCCTACCCCTACCACGCAATATATGCACAGGCGGGGGGGAATATGGGGGGAAAACACGTGACTCACGCGATGGACTAATCAACCTGCCGCTTTTTCGAAAATGTTCAATGTCCTCTACTCGGAAGTGCCCAACTTCAGACACACGTATGTACACAACCGCGGGTGTACATGACGCCGAGTGCGTCTCTTTAAAGACTATAGCGATGAATCAGACGAATCCTAATTGTTTGTAAATATTGTGTAAATATTCTATGCCGCATCGCTGTTGCCTCGATAGAGCGCTAAGGTCGATTGGCTCGTTTTACGTGAATATACGTGAATCGTCAAATTTCTTCGTCACATATTGCATTCGTACTTTTATTCAGCAACGCATAATTCATTGAACGCAGCATTCGTTGAAATTGTTATTCCTTCTGAGTGGATCTTGACAGCTAAATTTTTGCTCACTGCCACTGGCTCACCGTGTTTGTTAATTTTCAAGCACATAAAGCTGCAGGTACGTACATCATACTGTATCCCCGTAGCCCTACCTTTTAATGCCACACTCATTTCTCTTGGGATGAATAATCTATCTGGGCTAATCTCTTGTGTGTCAGGTTATAGCTTTCCTACGTCTGTTTCATTCCAGACAATCCAGATAAACCCGCTGTAATATTGGCGCATGACTCTATGTACGCGATAATATGCAAAGAGATGTACAAGTTTTATCAATGAAATTGTTTTTAGCAATCAAGAAATGTGTAAGATGTATGATATAGCCAAGTGTTTATATTTTGCAGGTGTATGGACGATCTAAGGTCAAATAGACACAATGCAACCACCGTCAGTAGCTACACCTCGAAAGTTACCAGTTTTTGTGTTTCCACAAAGCATTACATTCTTCTTAGACAATCAGGCTACCCACAAACAAGTGCTAACTTTATATAACCCGTATGACTTCCCTGTAAAATTCAAAGGTAATCTCATCCTTCTCTTCCAATACGATGCAAAATAATACAAGTTTCATCTAATTTTCACATTTACGTCTATGTTCAACTCTGATATCTTAGTTTTATGCACCGCACCGAACAAGTACAAGGTTGTCGATCCAGAAGGCACAATAAAAGCCAGATGCTGCGTCGATATTGTTATCCGACATACAGCACCGTTAACAAGTAATTGCAATGTGACTGATAAGTTCAGAATACATATGCAAGAACATCCCACCAAACAGGTGACGCTCAACACATACGCAGCTATAAAGTATACGATTACCAAGGATTCGCGAAAGAATTGAAATTTTTCAAACTATTCAATTGTTCATCAGGCGATCGGCAAGCGAGATGTCGAAGCTAAGCTACTCTCTGGAACAAGCGATACAGTCGGAAGATCAACACCAGATCCAGATATGTTTCATCAACTCCCAATCAATGAAACAACAAGACAACAACAATCCTACGCGCTTATAAGCCAAAATAGAACAGTGGACAGTGAGTACATGGCAGTTACAAGAATTACTTTTTAAACTCTATCTGAGAATCTCAAGGTATATAGAGGAGGTCCGTGTCGTATTGTGTAAAAAAGAAATCAGAGCGCTAATGGTTTCCCAGATAATCACATCAACCTCTCGTGTTCTCAGTGGGAACGATTACGATACAAGAACATACGCGCGTTAAAATTGTCAGCTAGTTTCTATCGGGCGAAATATGTGTGCTTTCTCTCTCATTTATATACATATGTAGGAAATAAATTTTAGTAAGATGTATATCGGCGAAAAACTTGACGGAAAAATTATTGCGCTACAGCCAGCCGTGCTGATACAACTTGCGACCGGAAGTTTTTAAGATCTACGGGGCGATGTAAATGACTGTGACAATGTGTACCATGTATCTTGTTTGAATAACTTTCTACTATATCGCACGATGTATCGTTTTTAGCGTTCCTAAGGATCCTTGAAATTTGGAACTCCCATAGCTGCTTCAAGTATCTACGAAAACGCTGAAATCGATATATCGAGGAACGGATAAGAGGAAGTTATTTCGAAATAGATCCTTAATACTGGCACAAGTACATCGCATACATTTGCATACAATAAGTTTTAGAATGTTCCAAATATAGTTGTGCGTCTTGTTCTTAGGAGGTACAAATTACGTAGCGCTCGTCGCAGGAATTATATGCATAGCCGGACTGCTCTTACCTACAGAAGGAGAACAAAGTAATAGAGTGCCTGATTATCTCCATCTCTCTATGAATTTTAAACTAATATTCTCGTTTGTACTAGGTAAGCATACAACACATATCTAGTGGATTATACAATAAGTGAGATAATTCTGTTTTGCTACAGGTATGGTGGTAATTATCATTTCAAAGATATAAAATTCTCAGCTTTTTATATATAAAGGAAAATTTTGTACACACGCAAGATAGATATTGTGGGACGAAAGCACAATTGATACAAGACTTGTTTACATTGGGCCCCCTTTCTTACGAAATATATCCGATTCTAGTCTATGGGCGATATTTTAATTGCATCATCTGAAATGTTGATATTTATTTGCTATACGGAAAATTTTGTTTTGAGGAGAGAGGTCTCGCGAAAAGTCTCTCGGTATGGTGTATGATTTTGGCTCGTGAGCTATATATTTCCAGGCCTACTGGAAAATCGATGTAATATTATTACCGTGCCCTCGAATTGCATACTGCGTGCGTGAATACATGTTAGAGCGAGTGAGACAGAGAGAGAGAGGCAGGGAGGGACGAAATCAATAAGCGATTGAGCAAGCGTGCGAGCGAATGAATGAATGAATGAATAAGTGAGTGAGTGAGTGAGTGAGTGAGTGAGTGAGTGAGTGAGTGAGTGAGTGAGTGAGTGAGTGAGTGAGTGAGTGAGTGAGTGAGTGAGTGAGTGAGTGAGTGAACGAACGAACGAACGAACGAACGAACGAACGAACGAACGAACGAACGAACGAACGAACGAACGAACGAACGAACGAACGAACGAACGAACGAACGAACGAACGAACGAACGAACGAACGAACGAACGAACGAACGAACGAACGAACGAACGAACGAACGAACGAACGAACGAACGAACGAACGAACGAACGAACGAACGAACGAACGAACGAACGAACGAACGAACGAACGAACGAACGAACGAACGAACGAACGAACGAACGAACGAACGAACGAACGAACGAACGAACGAACGAACGAACGAACGAACGAACGAACGAACGAACGAACGAACGAACGAACGAACGAACGAACGAACGATTGAGTGAGAAAAGAGAAAAAATAAATGTACATGCAAATGTCAAGTATTGACAAGTCAAGATGCAAATATATCAAAGAAAAGCTTTATATGGATAAATTTATATGGATAAAATTGTTTATAACATAACGATACAATGTAATGTAATATAAAATAACGAGACAACATAAAAATACTGTTGATATCTGCCTCGCTGACTCTTTCGAAAATCTTGATGTTGTATATAGAATTATTATGATATGGTTTTTCTTTCGCAATAACCATCGCGCAACATGATCTCATGTACAGCCGGTCTTTCTGTAAAGTTAGCTCAAATAAAGTTGGTTCGAATTTTGAATATTTAACGTCTGCAACAGTAAATTCTCCCCATTGTTTCGCTCTCTATCAAGTATTGACAAGTTAAGATGAAATACACGATGCGACAACGAAACACGATGGATCGCGAAAAAATTAAGTTCAAATTTATTAATGATTGAAATGCAATATAGAGCAATGGAGCGAATCTACTCTGATCTTTGACGATCAATGAAGAAGCTTTAAGTACGGAAAAGAGAGAAATCAGAGAGAAAAAGAGGAAATTTTGTTTCAATTTCTTTTTGCGAAGTTGGATAAAGTGTGTATAAGAACAATCGTAATAACAAGTTATTTCCATATTGCACAGATTGGAAATAAGAGCATTTATTTATTACCAATGTGTATCTATTATTTACATAAGTTACAATACAGACACTCGTGAATAAAGTGTATCGTCAAGTGGATGTTTCCGATTTTTCAGCGTCTTATTTATATCCTGTCAAACAGATGTGCGATCTTCCGGGACATACGAATCGGAGCTACATTTTCAAAAGTAAATCGTAAGATTAGGTACGACGCCTGGCTAAGATACGCTTCGCAAGACATAGACGCGGATTACTCATGTTACCTGTAAATTTGCTCAAAGACTCGTAATGTCTCGCTCTGAAAATCATACAAATTTAGAGCCGATGTACATTCTTCAAGCTCTCATTGTGGGTTTTGTACTCCATAGAGGCACTAGTTGGAAGATGTAATACTCTTCTTAATGTATCTCTAATTCGCGCTGTTGTCGCTACATCCGACGCTGTCTTATTCCATACACAAATTATGTCCTCCTACTCGTAAGAAAAGTGACTTAATCAAATGTGGCTGATGTGAATGGCGCATAAAACAATATCGATTCACTCTTCTCTCTACTAGCGTATTATTCTTTAAAGAACAAAACTTCCCAAGTGTGAGGATGATGCTGAAGTTTACCTGAAACCTTATAGATACAACAGCTCCGCATATTTCTTCTCCTACCATAAATTGTTCTCCTAACATCGCCAATATAAGATTCTCCCAGCATCTAGATACTAAGCCTTTGCGTAATCTTACTATCCATTTACCACCTTTTTGATTGGCTTCATCCTAAAACAGACAAATACCAAAGCTCATACGTACACATCACACATCATATGAGCATGATGGAGCAATCAGAACAGCACTCACTTCCCACATAGGCTTTATGCCAACTTTGAAGAGATGAAAATCTGTATGCGTTGTCAGTTCCGAAGGTCGTACCAAGTGACTATAAAGACCCCAGAACTGCTCCACACTTGCAAATCTACCGACCAACTTCAAATTTTGGTCGTAACTTTGTATGCTAGTTTGTTTGCCAGGACTACGTCGACTGTACCACAGTGCGTAAGCATACTGTAATTTATGCTCGTTTGGACTTATTTCTATTGGAGGCTGTAAGCAGAATTGTCAATTAATTGTCAATCATCTAGCGTAAAATCCATCCACGTACAAAGCATCTCTGTGTCGCTTACTAGTGGACCCTTGTCAACCTTTTGATTATCCTTTGATTGGGACTCTTCATCTCCACTGTCCTCGGTAGTCTTCAATCTGTAAGTGCTGTCGATTTATAAGATGAGTCAGATGTAATGGTATTTACCTCTCGGGGCATTTGTTACATAAAGACATAACAGAGCAAAGCGCTCGTAATGTACTTGAGAGCGAGTTATGTTCTATATCAATCTTGCCATATGTTCCGGATGTATTAATAACATTGCAATCGCTGCGATGATCCAAACTGTTGTCGCAGCATCGAAGCTGGCTGTTACACGTTATTATTACCGCAGTCTGAGAAACATCGTACATATTGACCGCGCGCACCGATTAAATTTTCGAAAAATCGAGAATCCTTGTAAACTTGTCGTCAGAGTAATAAGTAACATTCGAAAGACGCGAATACGTCGTCTTGGTGCGACTGTCTATCTCTACGTGAAATTCTGACTAAACCGCTGTGAATTGAGAGTCTCATTCGATTGATTACTCAAGCGACGTTGCGAACATTTATTTGGCGTGTGATTTCACTGCGTATTCAAAACACATCTAACCTCGAAACATCGTCCATGGGGACACGCACGATGAAATAAAGAAGAACGACCAAGCTTTCACTTACGTTTCAAATTTATTGGACATGTTTTCAGTTGCTGAGATACAAACGTACAAGCGGATATCGCTAAATGCAATAAACGTCGAATATATCCCACTTAAATGAGAATAAAAATATAAAAGATTCGCTTCCTCTCTCTCTCTCTCTCTCTCTCTCTCCCTCTCTCCCTCTCTACGCGCACGTTACGAGCTCTCGTATCTACGGTGTCATCGACAAATTGTTGATTTTTTTCCAGCACCTCTCGTCTGTCTTCTTTCTCTTCTTCTTCTTCTTCTTCTTCTTCTTCGTCACTCTCTATCATCGACGGAGAATTTATACTCATACGTTGGTATTTATACTCATACTAGTGGATATCGATAACCGCTAAAGATCGCAAAAGAGCCGCGAGAAGTTTGACAGAAGTGTTCGAGTGCTTCCGATCGCCATCTATCGTATCCAATGCAGATAAATCGACGATCAAGTTATCGATAATCGATATCCACGTACGACACTTGCATTTATCTTATTTTCGGAATAAAACTGGCCAATAGAAACACCCATTTCCGGCCACAATAAAAGAATCCCATTTTCGGTATTTTGATATTTTTCACACGATTACTCGTGGCAACAATCGTCCAAGGCTGCTGTTCCGATATTCACTGCCAGCACTGAAATTCTATTGGTATACATGACACAACCTATGTATTATTTTCAGTACTGGCAGTGAATTTCGGAACGCAGCTCAAGTTGAATCGGACTGAGCGACGCAGTCAGGGAAATGGTGCGTGATACGTGTGAACGCAAAATCGAGTAGGTGGAATTTTACGCAAATTATCGTCTACTTTTAAGATTTTCTATCGAGTAACAAAGCCATGCTGATGCTTATGTTTGGGTTTGATTGTAACAAATTTTTTCTTTCTTTTTTGCTTTTTCTTTCTCTTTTTGTCGAGAAAACACTCCACAGGGGTATCAGTATACGAGAAATATTTCGCAGCACAACACGGCGACGAACAAACGATGTTAATTCATCTTCATCTTAGCCATCTCGAATTCCAATTTGAGCCTCTTCATGATTTCTTCTCGCTGATACACGACTTCTTTGTAGCACAGAGATGAGAATGCTATCGGGCACTCGTATTGCACGGTCTCGATACATTTTGTATCTTTCGTACCATCCACGTCGAACCTGAATTGCGAAATGGACTCCACTGAAATACGGAATGAATCGGATTGAGAAGCCGAGTTCCTCGCCTAGTAATATGCTAGTGTCAACACTGGTTCTCGTGCCGTATCGCGAGATACTCGCGATTAGCGGAGGCGGAGAGAGCGCCGAAACTGCGACGAGTCCCAGTCGTCAGCCCAGACAGCACACGGATGTCCATTGGACGTCCGTTATATGTTCATTTTTTTCTACAAAAGACGTCCATAGGACGTACGTTTGTCACGACTTCGGACATAGGACGTACGATGGACGTACATCGGACGTCCTGTACAGGTCCGATGTCCAATAAGGACATTCTTGTTAAGTCCAATTTATGTCCACGGACGTAAATCGGACGTGAAATCTGTACGTCCATCGGATGTCCGGTGCTGTCTGGGAGGCTACTTACGGCATCCAAAATCAAGGAAGAAGCAAGTCCGATGTTTGGAACTGATAACGTAACCATCGTTGTCGGGCTTTACGGCATATTGTCCGTATGCTGTGTTACGAATCATCGGTAAATGGCTCAAGTGTTCCGTATATCGCACGGTATACCTCCAGTGATCGTAATTGCCGCTCTCTGCGATCACACTAAAGTCCTCTCTGTAGTAAAAATTTGCGTTATAAACGGAGATGAAATGATTATTAATGTGAGAAAATTAGAGAGGGGAATAGAAAAAGGAGTGAGTGAAAAAGGAATAAAAGAAAGCGTAAAAGAAACCTGCAATATATACACACACACACGCACGCACGCACGCACGCATACACAATCCATTTTCTTTCTTACTTTAGAATAATTTCAATTTCGCAAGACACTATTTGGATGGAGACTGGATTCTTACTTACATCGTGGGGTTCAATTTTTTCATGTTGCTAAAATCTGCTACAAATTCCCACACGTGCTTAGGATCCGAATCATTTACGACGACCTCGCGTATCACTTGATGCTTCTTCTTGTAAACAAATAGTATGTAGAAAAGTAAAGCTCCTAGGACACCGTACACGACGGTTCTAGTTTTCCATTTCATGGGATTGAAATTTCCCATTTTCTCTCTCTCTCTCTCTCTTATTTCTACATTCAACGAGATCAACAAAATAATGTTTATTTTATTGAAGGCTAAGATCAATAGTGCGTAATAGAAGTATGCTTCAATTTCGATAATCGACACTGTTCCCGAGATCTCGACGCGTTAGTCGACGTACGAAGCACAAGTTTGAAGTCATAAAATCGTCTTGGACGCAGACTAACAAAGACACAATATCACATAATTTTTCAGATCAAGACCAAGTCTCTCGTACTTACCGCTGTTTTCAGACAAAATGGTCGATCGGTTCGACACGTACTTCCTGCCGAAAGTTTGATACGAGAGAAGCAACTGTGACAGGGGACGAGAAAAAACAGAACAGGAAAAGGCGCGATAGAGTCAGCGCGATAGCGATAGCAATCGCAGACTCGTTTTTGCTCGCTTGTACATACATAAACACCAACGGTCGAGACGCTCTCTCGTTCTACTCCAGCTACGACGTCACGCTGTTTACGAGACGTGTTACGCGATATGTATTTCCAGGGCCGGCGATAGGCTTGCTCGATGCCGACGGAATTAGGCACAAGTCGAATCTTGATACCCTTTTGTTCAACGAATGACACACCAATGTCACACATTCACGAGAGCGACGAATCGTTCTTCATTCAAAATCTTTTTACTCGAATAAATGCTTTCTTCACAAAACATTTGTATACAAAACGAGCGGTAGAAAATAATCTTAATGTCCGATAACGTTCTATTCTATTCGTCGTAGAGTATATGACATATCATGACTAAATTTAACGAATAAGGAATAAGATTTGTCACGTTCGAATAAAATCTGATGATGAAAAAGTTATTCATTACCATTTGGAAAGTGCAAGCCCAAAACTAATCTTGATGTATCTGTAGCCACATATGCGCATATAGATGAATCTTAATGAAATACAATATATTTTGTCGAAACCACAAGTGGTTTCCGTATACAAAGCAACTTTACAGTTTTTGAACCGATGGATTCGTTTTAGCAAGCAAAGACTCTGCGTGCGACGACAGCAAAGTCTCCGTTTCACGAGGTGCGGACATGGATTTGAAATTCAATAGCCTCGTCAAACCGTTCTGATAGCTCACCATGAGCCACAAATAGCTCCATGCGTTTGGATTCCAGGCCATCTGAAACATTTATCCACCTTGTTTTATCAAACGTTCCTAATTACGCTGGTTTCGTCAACGACAAATCTTTTAATCGAGACGCAGAGTTGACTTTTTTTTTTTTTTTTGCGAAGAATGCTGAGATGCGATACATATCGAATTATACACACGATCGCAAAAAAAGTTTTTTTTGCAAACCAAGTGTCGGGAAGCCAAATGAATACCTCATGTAATTTTCTTTGTCAACATTTCAGTTACAAGTTCAGTTACGAGGGGGCAGGGAAGATGGCGAGGGAGGAAGAAGAAATTTATATAATATTAATAAATGGAAAAAAAAAAAAAACAAGAGAAAAAATACATTATAGACATAGAAGGGCATTATAGACATAGATAGACCTTTCCGAGTCTATCCTTTCAATAAAATCAATTTCATTCTGTACAGGCAGCAATTAAAATTCATAATTTTCAAAACACATATAACTGCATGAATGTAATATCTTGTATCTTTATATATTTTTTGTTTCTGGATAAACAGCTAAAAAGGATCGGCACATTGACAACTCACCCTGTTTACAGACATGAATGGATGCTGTTCAATAGGAACAGATGTCAATTTGTCGTTGTAGTGAGTGTCCCGTGGTTTATCAGTTTCACGCTTCTTTTTCAAACTCTGTGCGAAAAAAACTGATTTACAACGGATTACATGTATAAATCGTTATTGAAGGAAAAAAAAGAAAAAAAAGGAAAAAAAAAGAAGAAAATGTTAACTTACCTTCAAATTGTCATGAAAGATAATGCCGAACCGATCTTTGCACTCATGATAACTTGCCGGCATATAATGATAATCCTTGCAAGTTTTTTTATCGTTCTTATTCTCATTGTTTTTCCTAGATATATTTCGTTGCTCTTTTAAAAAATCTATCGTTCTGATGAAAGAATTTAACTGCCAAAAAACAAAAGAGTTATAAAAGAAAAAAAAGTTTCCAATTAAAAAAGTTACATATATAGGATGTTTGGTAACTCATGTAGCCATAGCCAATGCGCGTGCGGCCTTTCCTTTCCCTTGCCGCGCGTCAGCAATCATTGCTGGGCGAAGTGGGTCACTCACTACAAGCTCGAGCAACCGAGCACGCCATCCACTAATGTCGCGGCTAATTCATCCGAATTTTTCCATGCGTAACACGGCCATTTTTACGAGATTTTTGCAAGATGGTACTTGACTACTTTTTTATCTCAATCAACTCTATGCCTCTATTCGCTATGGCTACACTGGCTATACTCTGGTTATACGTGTTACCAAACGTGTATTGTATACGATTACAGCAAAGGGGAAATTAAAGTTTTCGCTCTCGTTTTCTCTTTCTCTTTACCTGCCTTTTCCTAGGTAACAACTTTTCCGTATATAACAATTGATGAGGGAAAATGGTTAATACTTCTCCAGCTAATGTACCATGTGCAATACTGTTGGCATAATCGGATACAGTAATTGTCTGGAAAGAAAAATTTTTTAATTTTCCAAAAGGGATAAACAAGAGATCATCTGTACAATTACAGATTTAGCGATAACATGCAAGTAAGCTTACGTAAGTTGGTGCATTAGTCGCCAAAATCGGGCAATATTTGTATCCGTGTTCTCTCAGAGGTATTACATAGGAATGCGTATAGTTGAAGCTAAAAGTCATATCGAAAACTGTGTGTAATTAGTTATCGTCGCGAGTGTTATCGCAACTTGGTTGCGGTACTATAAAGCGACAAATTTACCCAAGTGCATCGTCGAAACTGATTACTGAGCAGGGCCAGTGTGTCATCCATACACCGTCCACTATTATGCCTTTCTTTGAACAATTTTGCGGCACGCTCGTTTCCTCCAAATCCCAAAATTTATACGATCTGTCGATACTAGCGGAAGCTAGATATCGCTTTCCGTGATACGGGATCAATGTTACCACTATGTATCAAAAGAGAATCAAACTTTCTATTGGCCCGTTCTTTTTTGGCACGGATATTAATACACTTACTGCTGACTGCATTATGATGGGCGAAGAAATGTTGGAATGCGTCTATAAATTTAGTATGTTTCCGCACGTTGAGCAACAGGGGCGAAGTAGTAGTGAGATCCCACAATGCTATGTAACCATTCGTAAAGCCTGCCGCGATGATACTGAAGAGACATTTATATCATTTCTTTAGATTTGCGCGGTTTGGGAGACAGAACGAACTTTGGGGAGGGAAAAAAAAAATATATATATATATATAAATTATCATACTCGTGTCCGTGCTCCCTCGTCCACGATAGTTTACTGCACTGCCAGTTCTGTTTCTTCTTGTCATATATGGAAATGTTTACTATTAACGTTGCTTTCGGATCGGTCTTGTAAATTGGCCACCTTGAAGTATAACGCATTAAGAAATTTATTACAAATAACGTACTGCAACCGACAATCGCAAACCGCAACAAATCGCAATGAAATTATAATGTGAATCCGACTTACGAACTATAGTCTGTTCTTTCGAATCTAAGATCGTCCGCAAACGGTAACGAGTAAACGTTTACGCATCCGTCGGAACATGCTGCCGCAAGCAATCCCATTCGTCTGAGTTTTCTTTCTTCCTTTTCATAATTGCAGAGATCGGTATCCTGATAGCATCCTGATGGGCACCATTCCAGGCACCAAACTGTACCGCTATTGTGCACAATCGCGTACGCTAAAATAGGTGATCGGTTTGTACTGTTATTTCTGGAAAGAACATACGAAACGTACAATTTTAGTAAAAATTGTCCAATTGCTCGTGATCGTAATTGGAGAGCTTGCCACTTGCAAACCGCTCCAAGCGCGTGTCCAACTCTTGTTCTCGAGTAAAAAGAAACCCCCCTCTTTAACGTCCAGTCATCATCACGTTTTGCGCGCGAGATCGAGAAAGACGAAGCTCTGTGTTCACATGATATCATCATCTTCAAACTTACTCGTGATCCAATTGACCGACGTCCCATATTTGTATGACGTTTGATCCCGAATAACTCTTTCCTACTGTATACTCGCTTCCCACAGTGGGATGCGTGCTGATTGCGACATATTGCGTCGGATTTTTGGTGTACATCGGTAATGGAATGGGTAACCAGGCTGACGCCCATATGGGACCACCGGCGAAAAATGTCGGTACATCTAAGACAATGTAACAATTAAGGCTTAAATTAGATCAAAGCGAGCGGACATCTTATTTAGCAAAATATGTCGATAGTATGATTCAACGTACGATCAGGCTTATATATGTAACGTACCTCCGCAAATACTGCCCTCGAATCTGCCCATATGCTTCCAGCTGCTGCTAACGGAATCTGATGAATTGTCACTTACACACTTGATGGCCATTGAACTTGTTAGCTCTGGGAGATACTTGGCGGCATCCTCATTGTTTAATAATGTGAAAATATTTGGCGTATAATCTTGGAACAAGTCAAGCTCGAAATTTTCCGACTCGCTGTTGCGGATCGTAAAATGAATTGTAAATGAGTAAGGAGCGCTCTCGCTTCTCTTTCCTTATTTGTCTGATGATGAGAGGGAGGGAGGGAGGGAGGGAGGGAGGGAGGGAGGGAGGGAGGGAGGGAGGGAGGAGGGAGGGAGGGAGGGAGGGAGGGAGGGAGGGAGGGAGGGAGGGAAGGAGAGAAAGAGAGAGAGAGAAAGAGAACTTTGTGCGATTATATACTTACAACATCATAGTCCAATGTAAAGCTGGTTTGTAAGTCTTGGTCGATTGTAACTTTTGCCCTGGCTCTCTACTTAGAAAAGCTGCTTTATTGCTTGCTTCTGAAAAAAATTTCAGAGGCGTCGTTTAAAATTTTGAGACGCTTGCATTCCATTGTAATGATCATTTGAATTCTGAATTATCGAATTTTAAATCAATCAATATGTAACAATCAAAGCATAATACGCCTACGTCTACGTCTACGGTTCGACTCACTTGCATTGTCGCTCGCTTGCGTTACTCTGACGGAACTTTTCTTTCGTTTTGTATCATATTCAATTATGCTTTCATCCGATGAATTCACCTCATCTTTCTCAAAGTCCGAATCATTTTCCACGTATTCCCCGTTCGAATGAGATTCCGTTATATGGTTCTCCACTTTGTCTCTAGAATCTGCTAAGAACTCGCAAATTTTGCACTTAAAATACTAAAATGAAAGGAAGAAAACTTATTTTACGCGTCTATACTCTCACTCTGGATTAGATGTAGTTGGTAGCAATTAAGTTACGATGCAGTATATACCTCTTGTGAAACAAAGTTACAATGAGAATAATGTTCACAGATACTTTCGTAGGAGGAACATGTATACGTGCATTCCATTTGTCTGCAGGATACAATACCCCGTGAAGCCAATTCTTTCTTCCACAGATTTTTCCAAACGGACGGTATTTTTTTCTGAAGTCCTGGCATTTGTACAACATTCTTCTAAACATATCATAATGTGTTTGTGTACAGAAAACACATCATTATTAATCATTCATTAATTCTCTCGGCGAGAGAAGATATTTGATCCGCCGCTCAGATATTTCCTCGGCGAAAATATCGAGGTACGATCATTATTAACTGTAATTCTTCCATTTTTTTTGTCATATTACATACCTTTACAACCAAGGTCCAATATCCTCTCAAAGTACAGTTCTTTGTACTTTATCCGTATATTTGGTCTTTGCGAGTTGTTAGTTTGTAGAAATACCATTATTTTAGAAATTAAACTATTCGAAAATTGCAAGTACCTTGATATTGCCGCTGAGAAAAGTACCTTTCAGTACGTTCAAAACTGGTCGTAGTATCTCTCATTAATGTACGTATCGTGCGTATACCTAGATATAGACCTTGCGCAATACCTATGAATGATTATGAATGCAAAACTATAACGTACCAGCATTGTCGAGTCAAGCTTGGTTCTTGTCATATATGAATTTTCTTCTCTCATAGATTCGGCAAACTTTAGTATCTTTGGTATCGCTCTGTAATTGAATTCGATATTTACCACTTTACAGCGTGTTTCTACATGTGTCGTTGTATCATTAAAATTGCTCGTTGGACAGATTACACAAGTAACACTTGTTATTTGTGCACACAATCTCTGCGTGCGCGCATAGCAATATATATAGGGACAAAATTCACATATAACACATTCTTTCTCGAATATTAATAATTCCATTCAATTTACCTTTCCGCCGCTTTTCGCTTAACTCTCTCAGTCAGTATAACCGGCACTTCCTTATTTTTATTCCGCTCTAATTGTCCGTGATAACGTTCGTGCATTTTCATCGAGGAAGGCATCATAACGGCGTTGCAAATGGAGCATGTCATCATCAATGCTTGTCTCTCCTGAGAGAAAGATGAAAGTAAGATAGAACGTTCGGCTAAATATATATGCCATATATGTATACACGTATATGCACCTTTCCTTATTTACTCACCGCCTCTGACTTTCCACAAAATTGCATGTGCGATATAAAACCATCGACGCTACGTTTCGTAGTTCTACATTTTTCACAAGTCAAATACTTCTTCTTCTTAACAGCACACGTTAATACTCTCTTTAATAATTTAATGTCGTTTTCAAAGTCCTGTGAATAAACATTCGTCTCTTGACTAGAAAGTCTCATATGCGCCGGGGGAACTTGTCGTGCGTTAATTGAAAATTATTAAAATTATTACCAATTCTATTTCATCCGGTTGCCACGCCATGTTATTATGTCGATGTAAATTGTGCGAATTCCATTGTTTTCTTGGCACTAATTGATCACATTTAACACATTTTACTGTTTGTGTCTAAGAGTAAAAATTTCAGTCGAGTTACATATGTCACATACAACGTGAAAAATGTGAAACTTTTTAAAATGTAGCTGCCACTTACATCTTTTTCAATATCCGCGACGCTCGAGTCCAGCATAACGGTGTTCGGAATTATGCTGGTTCTGGTTCTGGTTCAATAAATGGCTCTGAGCAGAGCTGTTACACTCTATCTTCTACGCCAGTCAGCGAAAGTAAGCTAAGTTACGAAAGTAAAGGAAAAACAGGGACAACGCGTACGCAGTCCCCGCGATCAAAAATATGCGTAGTTACGGAAACCACATCCAACCGCCGCGGAGGCGAACAAAAGACTTTTTCCGGAATTGTGCGAGCACCGACATTCCAGCTTGCTGTTCCAGGACATGTGAGACGACACGACACCGTCTCTCTCTTCTCTGCCGCGGGCCGCCGTCTCACTCGGGCTTGCTACGTCTCGCGCAAGGTCCGCTACCTCTCTCGCTCTCCCGTGGTGCGCTGTTTCGCTCGCGCGCTCAGGTTCGCGCGATCGACGCTGAGCGGCGCAACTATAGAAGTCTGTGGACGGTGCTATCCAGATTGCCAGCTAGAGCTGTCATACTTTTCACGAGGTTATGATCCGGGCAATGAATAGTTCGTACGACTTATAATTCACGTGGATCGCATACGATTGTACGACATATACCAAATCTGTAATCTTGACAGAACGAATTTTGCAAACAATGGTGTTGAATGATTATCCGGATCCAGAGAGAGTAGGATGCGGCTTCAATGCGTTCAAAGAGACTGACGAAGTGATCGCTCTGATAAAGGAATTGAGGAAGCCAGATTTATCGCCGAGTCTAGTGGAAAGGAACAGAGATCGCTTCAACTTTATTTTCTCTCAGTATCAGGATCAGCATCAGCTCTTAGACCCGTATCTCGAGAGAATTTTGGGATCTTTGTTGTCTATTATAAAAGATGACTGTGCGGAAAGCATCAAGCATAACACATTCAAATATCTATTCATCATTATGTCCGTAAAAACATATAAAAAGATCGTTACTTACCTACCGCACGAGGTACGCATTATCGCTTTGTATTAAATAAGAATAAGATTTTCTCCCAGTATTACAACGGAACGCGCGATATATATGACGATCGTAATTAATACTTTTTAATACGCTCATGACACAAGTATGTATTTTGTTATAGGTGGTGGATCTTTTACCTGTGCTAAGAATGCTCGAGAGGCAAAGTCCAAATGACGTAGAGACTTGGGAGACTCGATATGTTCTCCTTATATGGTTATCTATTATTTCAAAAATACCTTTTCCCCTGTCCCGCTTAGAGACATCTGACAATGTAGATCTAGAGCAAACTATTGTTGTCAGGTATTGCTTATAACATTGTCTCATATGTCGCACAGAGTATAATCAAATCAAAGGATAGTACCATGCGTCGGTACATTAATTTAAACATAATCTAAACAATGTTTATCCATACATAATAATCTAAACAATGCATATTCCAGGATCTTAAAAGTATGTAAATTATATTGCTTGTCGAAAGATGCGTGCGCTGTAGCGGCAGTATTCTTAATATCAAACTTTTTAACAAGGTCTGATGTCAAAAAGTTATACCTGGAAGAAATGATAATGTGGTGTCAAAAGGTGCAATGCTCTCGCAACGACAATAAATGTTATTTCAATGTGGAGAAACTCAACGTGAAAATTTCACCAACAGACTCGTCATAATTTCATTGTTTCAGTGCATAGAAGACGACCCTTCGAGACACGGACCATTGGCTGTGATAGCCTCGATATTGAAACATAGCGCCAGAGAAGATGTTAGACAATACAGTCTGATGCTTCTTGATAATATGTTAAAACTGCACTTGGATGACAATCCAGCAGACCTTATCAGAAAATTTGGGATAAAGGTTGTCCAGCGCATAGGTATCTCGTCGGTCGACTTTTTTTTTTCAATGTTATAAGTACACTGTTATTAATGTGTGTATCATTTGTCCCCATATCTTGTATATTTTAACGATCAACTACAATCTGTCATCCGATAGGCTTGGTGTTATTGAGAACAAAATTAGCATCTTGGCGCTATCAGAAAACAAGCCGACCGATAAGTGTCACACCCAATATTAAAACGGATAGTATTATTGAGAGTGTTACCGATCTTAAGAAAACTATTTCAAGCGACAACGAAGATCAGGAAATTCCTCCAGCCATCGAAGATATCATAGAACAACTCATACAGGGTCTTCGGGATAAAGCAATCACTATAAGGTTACGACTCGACGCATGCCTTTCGTCTCAATCGTGCTCATTCTTGGAAGTGGCACGATTCATTGGTTAACTTTGCGTTTCAGGTGGTCCGCGGCAAAAGGTATTGGCAGAATAACAGCGCGACTGCCGCTTGACCTGGCTGACGATGTGCTGGGATTCGTACTGAATCTGTTTTCTGGACGTGAATCCGATTCGGCGTGGCACGGTGGTTGTTTAGCGCTCGCAGAACTTGGTACGTTTCGCGCGTTTCAATTTTATCACTGCCGTTTCAATGTTCCACCATTTTTATTATCGTTTATATTTTAGGGAGACGCGGCTTATTGCTGCCTCATCGTTTGAGCGACGTTATTCCAGTGGTTTTGCAAGCCCTAGTTTTTGACGAACCTCGAGCTTACGGATCGATCGGTTATCTGATCAGAGACGCCGCTTGTTACATATGCTGGTCTTTTCCGAGAGCTTACGATCCCCATATTTTCGAGCCTTATGTCAAGGAAATTGCGGCAATGTTATTGGTGGTGACATGTTTTGATAGAGAGGTATTGCAAAATATTACACATATATTTCTGTACCTTTCAAAGTCATCGAATTTGCTTCTATCACTTTCTTTTTCCCCCCTCTCTCTCTCTCTCTCTCTCTCTCTCTCTCTCTCTCTCTCTCTCTCTCTCTCTCTCTCTCTCCCTCTCTCTCTCTCCCTCTCTCTCCTCTCTCCCCTCTCTCCCCCCTCCCCCTCTCTCCCCCCTCCCCCTCTCCCCCTCCCCTCTCCTCTCTCTCCTCTCTCCCCCCTCTCTCTCTCCTCCCTCCCTCCCTCCCTCCCCCCCCCTCTCTCTCCCCCCCCTCCCCCCCTCTCTCTCTCTCTCTCTCTCTCTCTCTCTCTCTCTCTCTCTCTCTCTCCCTCTCCCTCTCTCTCTCCCCCTCCCTCCCTCTCTCTCCCCCCTTTCTCTCTCTCCCCCCTTTCTCCCCTCTCTCCCTCCCTCCCTCTCTCTCTCTCCCTCTTTCCCTCTCCCCCCCTCTCTCTGATATAATTTTTTCTACTTTTCCTTTTTGTTTCGATAAAATTTTAATTCAAGGTTTAGGTACAGAGTACCAGATTACAGATTGTAAAGCTATGATAAATGATAATTTTATTTGGTATTTTCATTAAAACAAAGTCGTCTCCAAGTTGGCCGGAGAAACTACGGTCAAGGAGTGACTAATTTGATATATTTATGAGACACTATATCTTCCATGTGTATTGTACTTATGATCCGTGTAATTACATTGTCGCATCGATATAGATAAACTGTAGGCGGGCAGCATCTGCTGCATTTCAAGAAAATGTTGGCAGGCAGGGCAACTTTCCACACGGTATAGATATACTGACTGTCGCTGATTACTTCGAGGTTGGCGTGAGGAGCCACACATATCTCAAAGTCAGGTATAGATTCGATCAAGTGAATCATGCGCACACAACATGTGACTTTTTGAGTTATACTAATTTGCAACAACCGTGTTTACTTGTAGTGTCCAAATTGCACAATATGAAGAATACACGAAGCCCTTAATAGACCATCTAGTTGCCAAGAAAGTTACACATTGGGACACCGCAATCAGAGAACTCGCAGCTAGAGTGAGTTCAAGTTTTGGTAGCGCAATACTCTAGTTCGATATAAAAAAAAAAAAATGTCATAAAAGATTTCAATTCCCTATATGTTGCTAATTAATGTAATTTGTTGCAGTCGCTATTCAATCAAACGGCAGCTGATCCGTATTACATGATAGACATGGTACTACCCACCTTATTGGACATGCTGAATTCCATCGATTTAAACGTAAGACACGGTGCAGTATTAGCAACTGCGGAGATCCTCGAGGCTTTGTACAATCATTTCAGCGACAAGATTGGAAGTATCATTGGTAAGAATGTGCAAAAACGTAACATTCTATCCCTTACTAGCGCTTTCATACAATGAGAAGGACATTGTTGTCTTTATTTCTTTTTGAATGTACATCAATAAATTTGGTTTTTCTTTTTCTCTTTTTTCTTTCCAGGAACCACGGCTGTGTCAGCCATACAAGACGTAGTGCGAACTTTCAGAAGTAGGGGACAATTTAAAGGGCTCGGAGGAGAGCTGATGAAGCAAGCTTGTGCTTTGCTAATAAAAAAATGCTCCATTGTTCATTTCTCTATTCATCAGACTGATGTTGTAGGCAAGTATTGTTTTAGCATCGCAATTAAAATAGATTTTACTTGTGTTTTGACATTGCCTTTGTTAGCATAATCAATGCGGTAATATTCGCGTTACGAATAATGTAGACGATTGGCAGAAGCTGTTGGAAGAATGCTTAAGCCACGAAGTGTCAGCAGTTAAATCGAAAGCAGCCGAAGCACACGCAAGCTTCTTTGTGGAGTATTACGTAGACATCGACTATGAGCGGAATGCTGTGGTCAATCGTTACTTGGAATCTCTGCGATCGAGCAACCAGTCTGTTAGGATAGGCTTCGCACAAGCAATTGGTAAGCCAAAAGGTCGTGCGTTTTGCAATCTCGTATTTGAATCGATCCTCAATACACGTACTCGATACTCCGTATAACTTTTTTCTTTCTTGTCTTGAGATCAATATGTAATCTTCTTTGATTTCTTCTTTAATTTCACTGAGAATCGAAAGATTCAAGATGGATATGGCATATTTTTCTCATTATTTCATACACACACACACAAGGTAGCCGTAGTTTTGTACACTTGGTGGGGGATTTGTTTCCATAATATATCTGTTGTACTTTTTACAACACCTTGCCAAAGGTGCAGAGATGCTGAGTCAAGTAATATATTGTGAATATATCGACGATAAAACGATAATAACGTAGTAGTAAATAAATATTCGAAGCTTATTTGTTCAGTTAAATCCTTACCGGTTAAATGTTTACCTTTTATTTCATCTTATACAGGTCATTTTCCGTTATTTGTTGTTCGCGAAAGAGTGAAAGATATTATAGAAGCTTTAATGATGTGCATCGACATATCCGCAAGTACGTTAAAATGGGCGGAGAGTAGGAAAGAAGCTTTGCATTCTTTAACAATGATATGCCAAACGTTAGGAATTGACGAAGCAGGTGAGTTTGCACAAATCTCTCGACATATTTTCCCTAATAATTTGTATGTGGTATTGAGCGAAAAGAAAAGAGGAAAAATATATTTTCCAGACAAGTGGCAGTCGTTTATGCCTGATCTGTACAATTGTTATCTATTGGCTCTTAAAGAATATACAATAGACAGTCGCGGAGACATAGGCGCTTGGGTGAGAGAAGCTGCTATGATTGGATTACATGTACGTAGATTCCATACGGCAGGAAACGCTGCTTACGTCAACGTGTGCCACAGTTCATTCTTTTCGTTTCACACGCTGACAATTCGTAAATCGTATTTCGACTCTGGCATTTTTCCTAAGAAAAGGAGAAAGATATCAATGCCAAATTTCAAGCGACACGGAGAAACTGTCATTGATAAATCTCACATAAAGTATAAATTTGTGTAAATTTAGTTTTCTTCCAGATACTGACAAACTTGGTATCGCAGGCGAAACTGTCATCTATACTGAATGAAAACTTGATGGCTTGCATCATCGGTGGTATCGCACAGCAAGCTGTCGAAAGAATAGATGGAATTCGAGCTCAAGCCGGTACCGTATTTAGCGCGCTTATACATAGGTAAATACATCAGACGATATATTTAATAGCAAATGAATTTTTAATTTTATATATACGGAGGAACTTGTACAGATAGCATAGAAAGAGATGTTTCAAGTGTTTCAATATCTGACACAGCGAACCACCGCTTCCCAATATTCCGTATCACGATGAACTGAAAGCTATATTTCCTCTTAACGAATGTAAAGAGAGTATCGAATGGAGGATGGAATCCGCAACATTTCCGCGATTTATTAAGATGTTGAGTTTCCCGCCATATAAAATAAATCTATTACGTGGAATTATATTTAGTGTCGGCGGCTTGAGCGAATCATTGGTAAATTTAAATTTAATATTTACTAGATTATTATTTATACATAATATATGCGTATATGTGTACACACACACACACACACGTGTGTGTGTGTGTGTGTGTGTGTATATAATAATTGTAATTAAGAAATATCGAAAAAGAAATGCCATCACATCATTTTCATTTTTTCTTCAGAGTCATCTTTTCACTTTCTCCTTTCTCTTCTTTTCTCATCGAGTTTAAGTAATTAAATACTGTTGTCGACCATGTTGCTAAATAATTTCATCCAAACGGCTACAAGTATGTTTTTTTCTGATCAACGTAGGTAAAATACTCGAGCGTTTCTCTATTTACTTATTTACAAGAGATCGACGAGGCAGGCTTGAAAGATATATGTGAAAAGATTTTAAGTATATTCGAAGAAAGCCATAAAAACGAGAGGATGATAACATCAATGTTGGCTTTTCTGGATCGTTTATTGAGTTCGGGCTGTATTCAGTCCATTTTGGATGATGCAGACAATACAATCTCGGAACGTATATTGACATTATTGAAACATGAGATAAAATATTCCAGTAATATGAAACTGCTCATCAGCAGCATAAATGTTTTCTGTCAGTTGCTACAAGTAAGTTTGATAATGATAAAAAGAGACCTTGCGCGCCACATGTGTGCATATTCACTTATTTATATCAAAGTCTACATTTTATTTCTTACGCCAGGCACGAGGTCCTATTGCTAAAAGAGCATTTTGTCAATTGAGTATATTTTTGTGTCACAAATACACATGTCTGAGAAAGACTACTGCTGTACGTACTTATGAAGCTTTAACACTTTATGGAGAAGAAATGGATATAACGGAAGAAGATTTAGCAGATATACTCACAAAATTGAACGCTACAGATTGGGAGCAACCTATCACAGATTTGCGTCCAATCAGAAATCATCTGTGCGAATTAATGAAAGTACCTGCTCCAGTTTTACAAATGAAGTCAATAAATTAGAAGAGCAATTTTATAAAAAAAAAAAAAATTCTTTTTTTCTTTTACGAAAGGTATCTTCTTCAACATTTACACTTATGTGGTATATAAAGTGCTTAAAGTTTAACTGCTAATTGTACTGAATAACTACCTAAAGCGATTCTGAAACAACCTTAAAAATGTAGCAGTTTTCAGGACAGTTAACCAAGACTAACGCACGTTATATATAAAAGAAATATATATACACACATATATATATATATTTCTTTTTCTTAAATACGTGTAATACACGTGTACGCATACGTATCAGCAAAAATTGACCCTTTTATTTGCCTTTTTTACAACGTAAAAGGTATACATTTCGTAAAATGTATTTAATAATTTTAACTTTTCTAGGTACTTTTCTATTGTAATATTTATATGGAATAAATGTATAAAATTATATTCAAAGCGTAGAGAAAAGTGTGTGGGTGTGTCGCGCGCGTGCGCACGCGAGAGAGAGAGAGAGAGAGAGAGAGAGAGAGAGAGAGAGAGAGAGAGAGAGAGAGAGAGAGAGAGAGAGAGAGAGAGAGAGAGAGAGAGAGAGAGAGAAACTCTCAATTTACATCGATGCATCCAACATCGCTCGTAAAATTGTCAGACAAATCAAATGATTAAAATACAATTGGAGGCTATATCCCGAAATTCTACAATTCTTTTGTGAGCCTCAACATTCCTTGTTGTCGTACATATGCATCTTTTGCTCGTCAAATCGATTTATGTTGAAGCTAATGTTGTTCGTTACGTAATGTGCCAACAACTTCGCTCCACATTTTTCAATATTCCACTGATCAATCCACCAATTATGTTTACCAATTCCGCCTGTTATTGGATCTCTTGGCAGAGGACAATCATATTGCCGTTGCGTTACTTTATCCTCCCGTAGCTTACGATTTTTCTGTATTTGTTCGCAGACGAAACATTCGAATGCTTCTACGTAATTTCCAAATTTACTACAAGTGCCCGTTGGTCTTCTCTTAAGAGAGTGCAGCAATCTATCGTTCGTCACGCGATATTTGTGCTCGCTCAATTTGTGGGATAAGTATTCTTCGTACGCAGTATCGTTTTCCACAAGTTTGTGTAAAAAATGGCCGAGCTGTGCTGGCTTGGCAAAGTCTAATATTGAAACGGCAGATTTGTTATTTGGGAGCCAATCCTACAAAGCCATATCATTCAGTGTACATCAGATTAGATTATAAGGCTGACGGAGTCTGAGAGTTAATCTCTAAAAAACAAAAACGATACTAATACTTTCACTCTGAACAATACCTTAAAAGATGGCGATCCATAATATACAGGTACAGAACCAACAATAAGGGGTCTCCATAGTTTTTCCGTGATGTAATCATTACAGATCGCATTTTCAAAGGCTATGGTAAACTTGTACTTGGCAACGAACGATAAAAATTCACGGTTATTCAATATATCGAGGTAATTGTCCTTCAACCTGAATATATACCGATAGTAACTGATCTCTCATAATGAATCACAAATCATATTATGTTAAGTAACGTACCCGTGTTCAAGCTGAGCATTATTTAGACACGCACCATAGGAATCGATGCGAATATATTTCATTAATTCTAATACATAGCGGTCTCTGTCACTAGCTGTATCGCAATCGGACTGAATATATAATACTGGCGCCAAATTTTGCTTACGCATCAGAGCAGTCTTCTCTTTGATACGAACAAAATACGATTCCCCTACAAATGTATATCATCTTTTTGTATTCTTTTATATACATAGACAACTTTGACACAATATACAAAATATTACATGTATACTGTATCGCAAGTAGAAAAAAATGAAAATTAGCAAGCACTTTACTCCTGATAATCCCTAGTCTTATCGCCTATATATTGCACAACAGTACAAGTTGTACTTGGTACAAGTTGCTTACACATTTTACCTATTAATTCGTCTAAACTGGGTAAGTCGAGAAGTGTGAGCGGTATGTTACTGAATCTGCTAAAAGTCGAAGAGTAATTGAAAAGATTAAGTGCTTCTTCATGAACAAGTATAGGATTATTCCTGGGAGATTCCTCATGAAGCAAGCCCCATGATGTGGCATTGTCTCTCCAACTGGGTAAATCACGGACGCGAAAATTACTCCCATAAAAGAGAATACTCTGTAAAGATAAGTGATGCATTTCGTATATATTGTCGCAAATTGCTTCGAATGTAAATCTACGAGTCTCCCTACATCTTATATATTATAGACAACCAAACAGAAAGAATCATACTTTCAATTGCGTGTTGTTCTGAAATGCCCTATCATGCGTAAAATAACATACAGCTTGTCCGCAGGCTTTTACTTGATTATTAGTACCAAACGGTGTCCACCACAACACGATAGGTATACCGTCATCTAAGTGCGTAACAAGAGAGTTTAAAATATGTTAATCTTTATTGAAAAGTATCAATATGACAGCAATGAATTACCCGAGACAGACAATCCTGTGCGATTGTATAGCATCAAATATAGCTGCGAAAAGAAAGAAAAAGAAACACATGCATAATTAAGAAAACTTTTCATCTTTTGCGGCATTAATCGATCACTGAGGACACTACTCAAATTTACTCGCGTACCTGAAATATCATGACAGATATACCCAGCGTTGTCACTGCTGCAAACATAATACGTATTTTCCGCGCCATTATAATCGCCGATATATATCAACAAATGCATCATCCATCTTTGAGTATGTTATCACTATTTTTGATAGACAATCTTATATATAACCTAGAAATGAAAAGCAAACAAAACGTCAAATTCTGTTGACATTTTTTTCTCTCTCTCTCTCTCTTTCTCTCTCTCTCTCTCTCTCTCAATGGGTGCATTCAGTACTACAACCGCTCACTGAGCGCTCAATGAGCTTTTACATCTGATTGGTATATTCCTTTAGATTTAAAAATATACACCAATCAGATGCAAAAGCTCACTCAGCGCTCAGTGAGCGATTGTAGTACTGAATGCACCCAATAGCTGCATTCAGCAGAACAAAGGCCGCGTTCAGTAGACTCAACAGTTGGACAACATTACTAGATTTTCCACCGAATCTCGCTCCTGATTGGTAAATACTTCTAGGTCTATGAAGAATCTAAAAGAATGCTCCAATCACAGACAATAATCACTAAGCGCTCACTGATCATTTTGCTCTACTGAACGCAGCCAATATGACTACATTTACACGGCTTCTAACTTCGGCTTAGTAACTACCGTAGTTAGTTCAGTCACGAATCCGATTAGAGTATATTTTTAGATCTAAAAGAATATACCAATCGAATCAAAGAATTCACTAACTACGGTTGTCACTAATCTGGATTAACCTTGTCGTGTAAACCTAGTCTATTGCTGGATTCACACTGCATCCGACGTACGTCGTACGACGCTCAGCAACCAATCAAAAAGCAGGATTTTACTTCGTATCATCGGATCGCTTGGCCGTCCGTCATCGTCCGATGTCGGACGAAATGTTGATCATGATTCAACATTTGTCGTACAATAACGCATGGTATGAAGGGCAATCTGGACAAAATTAGGAAAAGATGATATACCTTACTCATCTTATTATATTATAAAGTTTATGTCATTAGAGTTGTCGATAGACAGAATAGAGTTTTGTTACTTAGTTTGAGACATTTTAGCACACAAGACATTTTTTCATGTCAGACTTTTTTCATACAAGACATTTCTTATGGCCGGAAAGTAGGCGATAAAGTAGAGTTAACAATAGTGAAGAAAAATATTACACATATCTTACACATATATATATTATACATATCTTGTTGCCCGTACGTAACTACGCTTATATGTATTTCTTGCTGTCATGAGTCTGTGCCATTGGCTGTCACTAGACGATTGCGCATTCGACCTGCGCAGACAAGGAAAGAAAACTTCCCCGATATCTTGCCTCTCTCACTGTTCTGCCAAACCCGCTATGCTCAGTCTATTATATATGTCTATGGAATAAAGCCAGCGGCACACGGTGCTTGTTTTCGTGCTGGATTGCTTGCTGGATGAAAATATTGCGTTCTGATTGGTACATTTCCGAAGATAGATGGAAATGCACCAATCAGAATGCAGTATTTTCATCCAGCAAGCAATCCAGCACGAAATCAAACACCCTGTGCCGCTGACTTAAATAAATATCAATTCTAACTTTTTAGGTTATGCGCATATTACTATTAGAGGAACTGTAGTCACCATTAACCATTTACGCCACCTACAGACTTTAAATCGTATTAGTTAACGTATGCAGTATAAACAGCATTTCGCACGGCTTCGTACCGTCGGATAACGGACGACGCACGTCGGATGCAGTGTGAATCCAGCATATGACTCCAGTGGTGCGATTCTGTGGCTAGTATTCATAGTCAGGTCTTATATTTAAGACCGTCTTAAGTTTATTTTCAGATGCTATACAAATCATTTCATTGGCTATGGGGTATCTGAAAATGAACTTAAGACGGTCTTAAATATAAGACCTGACTATGAATACCGGCCTAAGCTTTACTTTGGCTGCGTTCCGATATTACTGCCAGCACTGAAATTCTATAATAATAATATACGTGATACAAACTATAACTACCTTTACACGGCAACGTTAATCCAGATTAGTAACAACCGTAGTTAGTGAATTCTTTAATCCGATTGGTATATTCTTTTAGATCTAAGAATATACTCTAATCGGATTCGAGACTGCACTAACTACGGTAGTTACTAATCGGGATTAACGTTGCCGTGTAGCAGGGGTCCTTATGTATTTTCAGTACTGGCAGTGAATTTTGGAACGCAGCCTTTGATAACTAAGGCTTTGTTCCTAAGGCTGAAAATCTATACGTGACACAAACTATGTATTTACAGTACTGGCAGTCGATTTCGGAACGCAGCCTAAATATTTACGATCAGAAGAGACGATGTTTTTACTTTTTTTTGTCAACGAAATCGCAAATCTTTTTCTCTCGAATTTAAACAAAATGTAGCGTTAGTTATACCTTCTTGATAGTTTCTGATATCTTTTTGCTACTATTCTATATCTGTTACCATTTATGCTTATTTCGAGCTACAGCTTTGTATTCCAGCCACGTTATTTCTAAGAGGGTGACTCTAGCACTTGGCGAGATTTTTTCTGATGCTCTAAATCCATAGGGCCAGAGCACAGACTTCTGCATAACGCATAATACACAACGCATAAGAGAATAAACCAATTAGTTTTCTTCATTTCCCTCCTCAGGACACAGAAATGAAGAACTCTGATTGGTTGATTCTCTTATGCGTTGTGTATTATGCGTTGTGCATTATGCAGAAGTCTGTGCTCTGGCCCCATAGGGCAATATAGGGACAGAGCATATTGTTGCGGGGTGATAACCATTGCGGGACGGTGCGACGAGGTAAACTGTGCCTAAGGCTGCGTTCCGTTTCACGCATCGAGCGCATCGATCGCAACCAATGCGTTGCGCGCATTGATATCGTTCCGTTTTCGTTAATGCGTCTATGCGCTTTTGGAAACGGAACGACTTTTGATGCGTTTGATGTGAAAAGAAAAATGGATGCTACTATGGTCACAATGGACATCGAAACATTGACAACAATAGCCTTATTTTCATTAGTGAATGATAACAGAATTAGCAGCAGTAGTAGCAGTAATAGTAGTGAGTCTATATTTTATCAAGAAATCTTGATCCGTAGAAAAATATTCACACACATGCATTAATTTAAAAATACAATTGAATTGTTTCTAAAACTTAAAAATTTCAATTTTACCTTTCGATGCTCTTAACGCGATCTCTTTTTCGAGAAACATAGTGATCATTTCGTTATCCACTAATACGGGGAATTCAACTTTGTCCATTGTACGTATCTGTAATTATCTGTATGTTTAAAAAAAAAAATATCGGTACGTTAAATATATCAGTCGTCACGTCACGTTGTCAGTATTTAAATAGGGTTATATAAAAGATTATAAATACTAATCTGCGCATGCCCGCATCAACTGCTTCTAGTCCGAGCTGTAGTAGCTGATGCGCGCTTAATGCGATAGAGGTGGGGGGATTCTAGGGAATTCTATACGCCACCAATGCACGCATTAGCTGAAACGGAACGGTTCTGGATGCAGTTAATGCGCTCGATGCGTGAAACGGAATGGACCCTAAATCTAATTGGTGGTTGTGCCGTGTGTAAGTATTTGATACATAGATGTGTATGAAGTTGTGTGTTAGTGAAATTGTATGTGTGTGTATGAAAAAAAAGACGCATGCATAACCTCTGCAAAATATTGTCAGTGTAAATAATTGTTATCATTTTGTTACATTTACTATTTGCCAGTGACAGCCAAGTCGTTGCATCACACGCTCTGAATATGCGCACTATTATAGCCAATGAAACTAAAGCCAGCGGCACACGGTGCTTGTTTTCGTGCTGGATTGCATGCTGGATGAAAATACTGCGTTGTGATTGGTATATTTTCGAAGATGGATGAAAATGCACCAATCAGAACGCAGTATTTTCATCCAGCAAGCAATCCAGCACGAAAACAAGCATCGTGTGCCGCTGGCTTTAGGCACAGTCGCCCTCCGCATTTCAGCACAACTCCCCTCGCCTGTCTTATGGGCCTATGCTTTGTCCCTATTATATTCCTATTATATATGTCTATGTCTAAATCCCGTAGGATTAACGGTCTTTATTAGTTATTTCGTCGGTGTCGGAGCTTAGTAGTCAGCCTGACTTTATATATGTATGTTTTTCATAAAAAAGAAAAAAGAAAAGAAAAAGAAATTACTCTTAGAAAAGAAGGAATTAAGGAAATGATTATCATCCTCCTAGGTTTATTCTCCTCTTATAGGTACATTGACTCATTTTATACAATGTAAAATAAATAAATTTGCTATTGAATTATATTGATGAGAAAAGAGGTGAAATTCCTCGGCGAATTATCTATTTTGGCTCACTCTTCAAATGGCATAATGTCGGTAAGATTTCAATATTGGTAAAGATCAATGTCGGGCAACGATAATTGAGCTAACGTAACTTGGCAAATTGCTGTATCGATACGTACTATACTTGTGTACTACATCGATCGAGATTACATGGGTTTGGCATTATCGCGAAACATCGCGCCGTGCATCGCGTTGTTTCTGGTAGTCTCACACCCCAGGACAAATTGTTCGAATTCCGAAGGAGAGTCGCGCGAGTCGCTTCGCGTTATCTCCCGCTGCGATCAGCGCGTCAGCGCGCTCGTGTACCTTCGAAAACTGAACGTCTCCTCTCGTTCAGTCGCGAACCCAACCAGAGACCAAACCGGACACGGCTCAACCAATCGGTCGTTTGCGCTGATCGCATTCATCGTGCGCCTTGATCGCGCTTTTGTATTTTCGTCGCGCTTGGTCGTGCTCAAACCTCGATCGTGCCATCCCTTCCGTTGCGTCTCGTTCTAACCTCAATTTTCCATCTCATCCTCCCTCCCTCTTTTACTCGCGCGCGCGCGCGCGCGCGCGCGCTTCCTCTCGGCTTCCTCTCTCAATCGCACGCAGCCCCTTCTCCTCACGACCATTTTCCTGTCGCGTACGTACGTACCGCCGCCGCGCCATCGGTTCCTCCGTCCCTTCCTGCCGCGCGCTCGTTCAACTCCTCCTCTCTCTCTCTCCCTCTCTCTCTCTCTCCCTCTCTCTCCCTCTCTCTCCCCTCCCTCCTCCTCCTCCTCCTCCTTCCTCCCTTCTGTAAATCGACTAGTGTATCGTTGCACGATTTTACGTGCTCCCGTGTGCGTTACGAATTGCTTCAAGATCCAGGATGCAAGCTATCAAGTGCGTGGTCGTCGGCGACGGGTACGTAATAGGCAGGATGATTAAGTAAAGAGCATCGTTTACGGAAACTCGAGTTCGAACGTAGGAAAGAACAGTTCGTTTACGAAGGGATCGAAAAGATCTATTGTTAAAGAAACGATCACGAACGAGCGAGCATGCGAACGAACGGTCGGGCAGACAGACAAACGGACGGACGGACGGACGAATGGACGAACGAATAAACGAATGAACGAACAAATAAACAAACAAACAAACGTACAGTTACTTTGGACATTTTCCAATCATACTAGCTCTGGCTTGACCATTTCGATGTTTTTTTTCGAAATGCTAGCGCTAGCTCCCTTAATTCTTTTAGCTCACGGAGCTCACCCACCACGCCCGTGAATCTGCGAAACGACGACGTGACGTGTATTCGCTCGCACAAGTTTTCACGACAATGTCACATTTTTTCGCACGTTTCACGGTCGTTTATCAATGCCTGCCCGACTGACATGTCATGTATACATGTGTATGGACACACACACACACACACACACACACACACACACACACACACACACACACACACACACACACACACACACACACACACACACACACACACACACACATATACATCATATCTCTGACATATCGAAACGCGCGAGATTAGTCTTGTTGAGATTAAGGATATCGGTATTGTCTACTTGAAGTAAGAATGCGCATTAAAACGCTCGCAATTGCAACGATGATTAACGACTTAACATTTCGACGGCCGTTTTCACACGTACGTGACTACCTTCTGCTAATGAAACCGTTTACTTACAAAACATTTCTCGATAATAATATTTTACGGCTATAATATTATAAGGGCTATATAAAATTGGATGTACGGATCAGTGTACAAGAAGGATGCTCATCTCTTTCTTATCTTGGAAGCGATCTGTTGAAGTTGTCCTTGGCAGTAAAGTTTCTTTTCCAGATTAGCACGGCCGTCAATGTTAACTAAGTCTCGGATGAATATTTTGTTTTATTCGTATAGTGATTCATCCAACAATTGTTGCTTACGCTTACGCATTTTCTACGAAACACTACTGGACATTACGCACAAATCATTTGATATTTATATTCTCCAGAGCGGTTGGTAAAACATGTTTGCTGATAAGCTACACTACCAATGCATTTCCTGGGGAATACATTCCAACAGTATTCGACAATTATTCCGCGAATGTAATGGTCGATGGAAAGCCGATTAATCTCGGCTTGTGGGACACAGCAGGACAGGAGGATTACGACAGACTACGACCGTTGTCTTATCCACAAACTGATGTTTTCTTGATCTGCTTCTCGTTGGTAAACCCGGCGAGTTTTGAAAATGTTCGTGCCAAGTGGTATCCCGAAGTACGTCATCATTGTCCTGCTACTCCGATTATTTTGGTTGGTACCAAGCTAGATCTGCGCGAAGATAAGGAGACTATTGAGCGTTTAAAAGACAAGAAACTGGCTCCCATTACTTACCCTCAGGTTTGTCTCATAGTTTCTTCATCATATGATGCAATGTTAGGAAAATTTTCTCTACATGTTGAAAGTGTTACTCGCAATAAGTAATTAACTCCAAGTTCTTATTTGTACGAATAAGGAGATAAATAGTAAATTGTTGATGTATTAGTAATAAAAGAGATTTTTGTCAATTTGTGTCAATTGCAAACAAATACGAAAAACATGAGAAATTCAACCAAGTTATAACGTCTAGTAGCGCTTGTTACTCTTGTAATTTAATTTGCATTCCAAAATATGTCTTATCTGTGTGTAGGGCTTGGCGATGGCGAAAGAAATCGGTGCTGTCAAATATTTGGAATGTTCAGCTTTGACACAGAAAGGTTTGAAGACTGTATTCGATGAAGCGATACGTGCTGTATTGTGCCCTGTTCTGCAAGTGAAGCCAAAGCGCAGATGTTTCCTTCTATAATATTAAATGTAACCCTTATGCACGATGGTACCGGGATGTGTTAAAGTGCATCGTCTCATCTTCTCAGTGTACCAAGCTTGAATCAGGACGTTACCGACATCAGAACCCCGTTGTACAGCCTACATCAGCATCAATAGGCTGCAAATATCTGCCAGCATAAGCGCACAAACATCAGTTTGGTGTATTTTTCAGCAAGCGAAACAAGGAAGAGTTTGAGAATTATTAATAATTCATAATATAAATTTCCTCTTGCAATTCAGCATTTTGAAGGAAATAATTGTGGAGGTTTTGTGCTGTCTATGCAAACAAAGCTTCCGTTTTAGACTTGAATCACGATACTATAATATAGGGCTATAAATTGCAATCTGACTGGATGTTTTAAGCGAAAAGTGTAAAAGAAGCCAAAATATCTGAATTAACGCTGTACAGAGTATATTAGAGAGAGAGAGAGAGAGAGAGAGAGAGAGAGAGAGAGAGAGAGAGAGAGAAAGAGAGAGAGAGAGAGAGAGAGAGAGAGAGAGAGAGAGAGAGAGAGAGAACGTGCGCACGTGTGTCTGTGTGTGTGTGTGTGTGTGTGTGAGAAAGAGAAAGTACAAGTGTGAGAGCGTGAAAGAAAATGTTATAATTAATAATGTATGGTAAAAAAGAAACAAATATTACTATGTAATTGTATAAGCGTCCAAACATTGTATTGTATACTGATCAGTCAAATCAAAGAGGAAAACCATTTTATGCTATTTGCCATTGTACATTTTAGGTAGGACGTACGTAGTTAACGCATTAAAAAAAAAACTAATTTTCCTTATTGCGATATTTCCATATGTATCAAGATATAAAGAGGCAGAGAGAAAGAGAGAGAAAATATTTTTTAGAAGTATGCATAGTACTTGGCTGATCTGTTTGGACGATATTCATCTAGATGTTCATTAAATGTGAATGCTGATAACTATACGCGTGTATGCGCGGTTATACATACACATACATATACATGCTACATGTTATACATAAACATTTCTTCATGTACTTAGAACAACAGTATATACTTTCTCAATTCAGTATATTCGATATTTGTTACAAATTTTTACGTTATATTTCCACAAACAAAATCTGTTGGGCTTTAAAATATAGATCTAAAAAGTCAGATCGTCAATGTGTTAGGTTTATTTAAAAAGAATTGTACATAAAAATAATTTCTTCGTGAAATACAAGGATAGTGGGTCGAGAGTGGCATGATGAATATTCGAATGCCATTCGATGATGTAATGTGCACGTCCGATATTTAAATTCTGTTTGTACACCGTTTATCAAAAGCAATTTTATCATGAGCTCATCATATGGTTCTGCAATGACGCAAGCGGTAACAGCGGAAACAGCAGCAGCCGCACATAACATGGCTTCCTTCTTTCACTAAATTTGTTAACACTATCGAACATATACCGTAATTTTTAAATAGCTAACTAACAATTTTATGTATGATATATATATATGTGTGTGTGTGTGTGTGTGTGTGTGTGTGTGTGTAATCACATAAATATCAAATCAAGTTTAACGATTCCTCTGCTTCATCGCATCTTTCATGTTGCAAGGGATTTACAACACAAGATGCCTGTGATTAGCATGCATAAAACATGTTCTCTCACTAAAACTATCGTGTCACAGAACCAAGTATTGTCACATTTAAGAAAACTGGATATTGCTATTGAAGCAGAGGACGACACAGATGCTTATGTGTGTGAAAGAATCAGAGAGTGTTGGCAATGTGGATGAAAGAAAAAGACAGATCGGGAAAAGTGAGTGAACGGGTGAGAGAATGAATAAATGCGTATTGGTAGTACGAGTATATAGATAATGAGAGAGAATATCCTATAGTGTTAACAAATGTATATAATTGCTAAACTTCAAATGTATTCCTACTTATTACCACATATAATACGCGTAATGTGTGTGAATCTATTATAAGTGGTGATATGAGTCGTATACATTCACACACATATACATAGCACACACACACACACACACACACACACACACAATTCATGCATACACATCTGTGTGCACACAACATACATACATACATATGTATATATAAAAACTTAATCGACTCTAAAGTGAACAAGTTGTTTTTTATATATTATAAATATATATATATATATATGTGTGTGTGTATACATATATACAAAGATATATATGTAATATATATATATATATATATGTGTGTGTGTGTGTGTATATGTATGTATGTATGTATAAATCAGGGCTGGACCAAGACCTAACTCAATTGTCGCAGATCCATTAACCTGTGCAATCCGTTTTCAAAAAATGAAAAGATTCGGCCCACAGAAAGAATCACAAAAATACTGTAACTAAATATGCTTTATTAAATGGGTGTTTATTAAATTATTTTTACTATTCTTTTTCGAGAACAATCTTCTCGATAATACAATTTGTATTACGCAGCAGCGTCGAAGAATGTATTAATTAATGCCGAAATTTGATCGGGCGTATACTTGATGTATTTACCCGGATTCTTCGAGAACGATACGCCACGATACTTGGTGTGAAACGCAATATATAAAGGAACGATTGCTTCGTGCAGTTCCTTTCTTAATTCCTCGCGTAAACGTCTATCAGGTACAGAATAAGAACGTTGACATTTGGCCACTTCCTCGAGTTCTCTCGTAAATCCCAAAAATTTCTCCTTCAGTGTTTTGGCGGCAAGATCTATGAGAGAAAGTATACGAAAATCTGATAGGGCTAACAATTGAATACGAAAATCACATAAGACTAACAATTGTATTCTGGGTCTGCTAATTGTTGAAAAAAATCTCAATAATCGTTTCAGAGAATATAACAAGAGTAGAATATATAATAATTCAGTATATAAAATTGACAGAATAGACACGTTTTTTACTTACTTGTGTGATGTCATGAGAGAAACGTGTCTGGAGTCTCATTTATTACAAGTTCAAATTTAATTATTTAATTTCTATAGTCAATGTCGTGACATACGTTGGCACACACATACACGCGCGCATATACGTACAAACCTGCTTCATCTGTGGATTGCTCGAGGTACGATCGTGCTTTGGCAAATGTTGTAGCGACATAATTGTTTTTGTCCTTGAAAAGTAGATCGTGATATGTCTGTTCTGCACTCGGCTCGGCTAGTAGTAGCAGCTCCATAAGAGAACTTCGACGTAGAGCATTAACCACATAATTATGATTATTTAGCCGAAATAAAGCTCGTAAAGCAAGATCGGAGTAAGACGCATCGCTTTTACTCACTAGGGCCAGATTCAATTGAGCGAGAACCTTTTCTGCAAGAAGAAGAAGAAGAAACGATTGTCGTCGGATTAATAATGTTATTTTTATTTCAGCTGTCTCACAGACGAAAATATACAAAGTAGAGAAACAGCGTGGAGACGAAAGGAGGAACGATCTCGATCGAGTTTTATGATACTCTACCTCCATTCTGATTCGATCAGAGATTAGTACTCGATAGAAAGTGAACTTGAAGAGATGAGAAGAGCAATTGCTTTTTATCGCATTAATGGTGTTATTTCAATTTTAGCTGTTATAAATTATGTGAGACACAATTTATGCCAACTATATAACATAAAACATAAAATGCGCAAACTTACTGACATATACGCCGAGGATCATTCTATATCCATTTCCTGCATTTTTTCCGGACGATATAGCTTGATCTATGTCAGTATTACGACGAAGAACAGCACCGGCCGTGTCTGCATATTCAGCCAATTGTTCCAGAAAAACTAAAACATTACTAGTTCCTTCCGCCACAGTGCCGTCTTTCGGTAAAGCCGCACCGGATTCGTTTCTCACACTTTCCGCAAAATCTTCCAAGGCTTTGGCACCCTATAATAGAAGAGAAATGCGAAAATTGTATCATCCTTCTACAGCAAGACTATTACAGCAGTCACTAGAAAAAGAAAAGATCAGCTCTTATAACCAATATTTTCTGTAAATTGTGTATATACACATGTCGCGCGCGCATACATATACGTACGTACGTATGTACGCACGTACGTACGCACGCACGCACACGTACGGCGCTGAATCGATAGTAATAGTTGTAAAAATAATTTGTAAAAAGATAGTCCAATTTGCGGCATAGAGTTCTTGAGCTCTTGAGGAAGATGCTTGTAACCAAAATTGATGATACAATAAGTGTAGAAAGGCGAGGAAACGTACGGTTGCGTTCAACGTGTCGAGTACTGAGGCGAACTTGGAGCGAAGTGCATAATCGCAGCCCTCGACCGTTCTCTCGAGATCTGGTTTCAATTCGCCGAGATGTTTTAGAATCGGGAATACTACGAGAACCGCGGAGAAATCACGTCTCGAGATGCATCGTTTGGCACGTGTGGCTATGCTATCCCCATCGTGCGCAACGAGATCCATCGCGTCGCGAACGGTAGCCTCGAGCACTTGAGCTTGCAACGAAGTCGGCAAGATCCTCGCGACTAGCGTTCGCTCGGCCTGCATGAGCTTGTGTAAGCCTGCTGTTAATAGGAGATAATTCTCCATCTCCTGTTCGTCCGGTGCTGCGTCCTCGATCGAGTACACGGAGAGCTGTGGTGTCGGTTTCCTGGATGTCGTCAATGACAGATTCAACCCCGTCGTCTGCGATGCTTTCAACAACATTCTGTTTGCTTTCTTCTCCAGAACATGCTGTAGACGACGAGACGCTCTACGTCCCGCGTTCTCCTGACCTCCCAGCGAATGCCGATTGGCGAATTTAGCTCTCTGCAAGTAGTTACTTTCGTTATTATGACATATAAGCCTGTCTCAGAGAGGATTTAATTTGCAAACTCCCCTCTCCTAGTATCTGTACCAGGCGGTGACGGCAGTGAGAATATATCATTGATGCGACAAGTCACTCAAATAAGATATTGGTTCAGACATAAAACGCTTTACACATCCACGGTTGACGCGAACGTACAAAGTGTCATGTCACAAGGATTCACGCTATTTTATCTCTATGCGCATTCTTTCTTCGCTTATCACCTCCTAATGTATGTTTCCCTTTTCTTTTACCGGCATAGGATTTCCCGCGTGCGTGCTACCACCACTGGCGCTCCTTTGATGTTCCTTGAGCAGTTGTAACGATCTCGAGACAATGGCGGAACGCACAGAAGCGTATATCTTTATGTGTTTACGATGTCCTCTTTCCTCGAGCCATCCAGCGATCCAAAGCAAATCGCTCGTAACACTCTCTGGCAACTGACACAAAGACTGCGGCGCATCCTCACCGCTAGTGTCCTCGTCAGAACCGATCAGATCCAACAGCACAATGGGTAAGATCGGTTTACTTTGGCGTGTCAGGATATCATGAAATTCGGCATAAAGCGATTCTAGGCCGATCGAGAAGAGACTCGTGACATTCTCCAATTCGACAGAGCTAGGGTTGTTTTTCTGGAAGTACCGTTGCGCGTTATACAAACGGTTCATGGCTTCGAGAAAACCGTCCAAACCACTGGGACCACTCGGTTCGGCACGGACTGCATCTTCCACTTCTTGACAAACACCATAATATCCAATAGCGTGATCCAGCACGCTCAGAGTCTTCTCTATGTCTGCAATATGTAAGTACAGGTTGACTCTCAACGGTACTAGAAAAATTAAAGGCTCAATTATGAAATCTATATATAATAGATTCATCAGGTAAATCCTAGAACAATATGTCCTAACGTTGAAACAATTGCACAGTGTTTCCTCAATTCTTGAGCAATTTTGCATTGCTCACAACAACCGGAATGATTCACAAAGCCATAGTTTTCAACTCGAGTCACTGACTCGACGGATTCAAAGTTTGTTGCAAGAAAGAACAACGCTGAGCCTCGAGTATCGTGTATCGAGTATTGAGAGTGAGAGTGAGAGTGAGAGAGAGAGAGAGAGAGAGAATCGAGTTGAAAAAAAAAGATAATATGAAACACATACTGTGTTGCTGAGCTTGGAGATTTCCTGTCTCATTGTAAACAGGAAGTATCGTGCGACGCAATGTAGCTAAACGTTCTTCCAACGAAGAAAGTATTCCCACTACACCGTTTGTCAATCGTCGGCTACGTTCCTCCGCCTCTTTCAGAGCCTCCAGAGCAGCGATTTCTGACTCTAATTTACACTGTATCTCGAATCGCCTCTCGGACGTGTCGGCTCGTGTCGTATGCATACCTTTTTCGTATGTTTTGTACATGATGATGCATAAAAATAGCAATTTACGAATTGACAATGAACAAATGGATATCAAAGGTGACAGGTGACTTCAGTAACATACTTGATAACTGGTGCTGCTTGTTTCCGAGTTCTACATGTCGCAGTTCGCGTCTAAAAAAAAATCTAAAATCTTAGATATTATCACTAACTGGTGTCAAACACGTGTATGTACATACGTACACACGTGCGTGTCAATACTCAACGATATTGAACATGACAATTGTGCATCGTTACTTTTTGTCAGTACTATTGTTATTATTATTGTTACCGTTACTACTACCGCTACTACTGCTATTACTGTGTAGTCACATAAAAAATAATAAAAACCGAAAAGGATAAAGAAAACACATTTACGATATCCCTACAAGTTTCTACCTTGACCATAGACCTTTGGACTTTTTAAAACAGCAGGACGATGTCAGAGGTTACACTGTCCAAGGTTCGTACATAGAGGAACGGAACAAGGTCAGTTCAGTACAGTTCAATATATGGCTCCGGACCTTTGACTATATAACTATGGACTGCTAGCAATGACTTTGGGCATCTATGAACATCTGCAGCGCCGCCAGTACCAAACACGGCCATTATTAGAACTATCATCGCACTTTTCATTCCTGTTTTACCATTAAAAAGATATTATTTGCGATCATGAATTTATAAGGAAAGGAAAATATAAAGAACACAAAATATGCTGTATATAATAAAAATTACATTAGTTATATAGTTTATGTTATGAAAATCTTTTTTATACAATAACAATTAGTATTTATATATAAATAAAAATAAAAATATATATGTTAAACATAGCATCACATAACATATATATGTTAAACATAACATAAATAAAAATAGAACTTTGTTATTAATGTAAAAAAAAACGTTACATTTTCCATATTTGTTAAGATATTACTGACCTTTGAATAAAATAATTTTTGTAAACTGATGTCTGATGTACTCAATATTTTGGCTCATTAATTTCCCTTCATAATTCATAAGAATCTGTATATAACATTCTATAATTAATTTAATTAAATAATATTTGTGATTTTCGAAAACGTCTAACTCATTAACGTGGTTGTTAAAATTTATAAATACCTTATCCATATCAATATTACGTATTGTTTTTATAATTATTTCTTGGCATGCATTTTTCTTATACAAATTATTCTGTAATTTATAAAAATTAAAAACTTTATCAGCGGCAACAATGAGTTTATATGTATCTTCTCGTGGATAATGTAAATATCCACAGCTTTTTCTTTCTATGAATGTAGACTTCATAACTGTACATTCGTTAAAAAGATAATTCGTTAAAAAGACATGTTTCGCAAGTAATCTTTTTTAATAATTTAATAATTAAACTTCCTTAAACTACTTGACGACATGTTTGCCACTTTTTCGGTTGTAATATCTCCTGGATATCTTATTAAACATTTATCACTTGACGCCACAGTATTGGTTTTTGTTGAATATGTCATATCATCTTGTGTTTGTCCTTGATGAGAGAATTGTTGATTCATCTTCCATCAATACTTCAGAAGATGCATTATTGTTTTCGTTACAGTGTATACTTTCTGTTATGCTATTAACAATTTTTTTTTATTTGTATAAAGTTTGTATGAAAATGGTATTATTATAGTTTAAATGTATTAACAATTTTAGTAATATTACCTTAAATTAGAAACATGTGGAAATATAGATGGTACAGATCCTTCGTACAAGCGTAATGATGACAATCCAGTTTTGTACATACAGGTTTCATTAAAATGTTCTTGACATACAGTGCTATTTGTTTTTATGGCCACATTTTTCAATGCTTTCACCCATTTTGTACGATGTTCCAGATTTTTTGGAAATCTAAAAATATTAATAAAGATTTAAACTATTTTAGTAATATATTTGTTTCATATGATATTCTCATACATGTCTAAACACATGAAATTGTACAAACATTACTTTTAATTGCCGTATTATTATTGCAATCTCATGTGTTTATATGTATACACATATTATACGACACTGCTTTCTTACTTTATTTAAAAATTAACCATTTAATAAGTTATTGTTGTAATGTAACATGAGAGAGACTTACGCAAATAAAGCCACATGCTTTCCTGTCTTTTTCTCTTTATGAATAGAATTATTGCACCAATGGACAACACAGTATTTCATTTTTATTTATTATTTTCTTGTTTGTAATTGCCGTGTTATTATATATCTCATATGGTATAATATATAGCTACTAGATACGTCTACTTCGTTATCATTCGTTATGCTCAACGAGTTCCATCATTTGCCGTGTTTGGTACTGGCGGCGCTGCAGATGTTTGTAGACACTTATTGCGTGGAAAAGTAAGCTGCTAGCAGTCCATAGTTATATAGTCAAAGGTCGCAACACGCATGATGCATATCGTAGGACGTAGAAATTTGGTCTGTTCTTTTCAGCTGCACTGCGGAACTAGTGCAATAAGTTAGAATGAGACAGGTATATTTTTTCTCACTTTAACTTATCGCACCAATTCAGTAGTGCAGCTAAAAAGAACAGACCAATTGACTAACTACAGTCGAATGTAAAGCCAGCGGCACACGGTGCTTGTTTTCGTGTTGGATTGCTTGCTGGATGAAAATACTGCGTTCTAATTGGTGCATTTCCGAAGATGGATGGAAATGCACCAATCAGAACGCAGTATTTTCATCCAGCAAGCAATCCAACACGAAAACAAGCACCGTGTGCCGCTGGCTTTAGGAAAATGATCAACTATGATTGGTTAATTTCTGCGTTTTGCGTATTGCGACCTATGTAGACAAGCCGTTAATAACGATCCCCGTGACATTAAACAAAAAACATCTAGGGAATGATTAAAGTAAAAAATCATATATTATACGATAATCGATTTTATAATATAAATATAATCGATATCAAAATAATCGAGGTGATATCGTATATCCCTGAAACAGAGGGGTGTTGGAGAATTTGCCGGGGTGTCGGGGAGGGAATACGGGAGTAGTTCCCCTGACTCCCGTCACCATGGTCCGACTGGTAGACATCCCGCAGGGGTTTTAGTCGGTAAGAGTCCGACATAACCCCCGACCCCCCCAAAGGATCGGGGGTATCCATGAGGACTTCCCCTGTGTTAACAAAAAAAAAATGTTGGAGAATTTTGGTCTGTTCTTTGTAGCTGCGCTGTTAAACTGGTGCAATAAGTTAAAGTGAGACAAATATAGGTTTTCTCACTCTAGCTTATTGCACTAGTTCAGTAGTGCAGCTACAAAGAACAGACCATTTGTCTTATCAGGTATCGTACAATGGCGTTGGGGAATTCGCTTTAACAGGCGCCTGGAGCCAAAATTGAGAGAGAGAGAGAGAGAGAGAGAGAGAGAGAGAGAGAGAGAGAGAGAGCGGGAGAGAGAGAAAGAGAGAGAGAGCGGGAGAGCGAGAGAGAGAGAGTCTTATCAGGCACCTGGAGTCAAGAGTGAGAGAGCATCGAATAGGACAGTGGAAGAAGCAATACAAAAATATCGAACATTGTTTTTCAATTTAACTCGACAGTAAAGTCAGATGATTACCGTCTTGTAAGTAGATTAATTATTACAAACAAGTTGAGTGACGAAGCCAGTCAACAAACAGTTTAATCGACATAGCATAGGATGGCGTAATCACATCACAAAGTTGTACATACATCACCCACCCATACACAATACATACATGTACATTATATATATATATGTATATATATATATTTATTTATTTATTTATTTATTTATACGGGAAAACGGTCTAATCGATTATTTATTATGACATACACATTATCATATATGTGCGTGTGCGTGTGCGTGCGTGCGTGTGTGCGTGTGCGTGTGTGTGTGTGTGTGTGTGTGTGTGTGTGTGTGTGTGTGTGTGTGTGTGTGTGTGTGTGTGTGTGTGTGTGTGTGTGTGTGTGTGTGTGTGTGTGTGTTTCACAGCCTTATGCTATGTTTTGTGTCACGTTTGTATAATTCAAGGAAGCTTACCCTATTATTGTTGAGTTTTGTGTGTGTGTGTATCTTTTCTCTCTTTTGAAATCACTGATACACACAAATTATTTGCGTTTTCGAACAATAGAGTTTGTCCATTATTAAGTCTTTGTATAGTTTTATAACTTTCTGTAACTTTGTAATATATAATCTCTGTTGCAAAAGATCTAGATCTAAATCCAAATTGATATAAAGGTATGGTATCTTTTTATGCAGGAAGATTTTGCTGTTTGTTTTGTGAAGGATATTGATACTGCATACAGTTTCTGAATAAACGGGACTGATGGATAAGCCGGTTTCATCTGACATAGTCATCATTGCGGGTAATTCTCATCCGGAACTCGCCAATCTTATTGCAAAGTAAGTTATATCTCAAAGGTATGCATAATTAAACCTTATTCTCATCAGAAATAGTGTCATTTTTATGCATCTTCACGATTACTGTACAAAACTAATTATACTAACAATAGGTTCATTCTCCTTAGCTGTACACTATATTATGTTCTTTGTGCTTCAAAGTGAAACACATAAATATGCACATTCGGGCACTGACAAGAATATAGACTGCAAAGGGTTTCTAAGAATATATAAAAAGAGAGTAAGCTAAATCAAGAATATATATACTAATTGTAATAAAAAATTACAAAGATGTTTGCTTTAGAGTACTTATCATTATTTTATATTATTATCATTACATTACAGTTATAACATATGCTGTAGCTATGATATTATATAATGAAAAACCATATTTGCTTGCAAACCATTTGTTATCAATACACAAATTATTTTCTCCGAAGTAAAAGTTTTAAGTAAAAACTTTTAGTGCATCGATATGTGTATCGAATGAGTGCAAAAGTTAGATGGGTTTCTCAAAGATATAACTGATCCAGTTTTATGGCAGTGCTTACAAATATGTAGATGTTTGATATACCAAGGATAGTAGAAATCAATGGTGGTTACTTAATAAAAGGACAATAAATTATTTTTAATAAGATTAAATTACTCAGTCCATTTTCCTATCGTAAAATCCATCAAAACTTTTATGCTCGCTCAATGTAAGTTGAATCAAATGAACGATATAAATTTGTACTTTCCTTGCAATGCAGACTATAAGTATGAAATCTTTGATTATAAAAAAAAAAAAGATAAAAAGGAAAGAAAATGATTGTAAACTTAATATATGGGCAGCAGAGATCAGATACAGTTTGAATTAAAGATTTTGTAATATTACAATGGGAATATATAAGACTGCAAACAAGAATATAAACTTTAGATAGATTATAAATAATTACAACCAAAATTTAATATTTATTTGATTGGCACCTGTATAAAGGAAAGATACAAATGGTCCAGAGAGTGTCTATATACTAAAATATTTTTTGTTTTTATGATTTAAGTCGTCTTGGTGTAAAACATGGTGGCTGTGCTGTGTATCACAAGTCAAACCGTGAAACAATGGTAGAAATAGGGGATTCTGTACGTGGAAAAGATCTGTATATAATTCAAACTGGTACAAAGGATGTGAACAACAACATAATGGAACTTCTCATCATGGCATATGCATGTAAAACATCGTCAGCCAAAAATATCGTCGGAGTGATCCCCTATTTACCTTATTCTAAGCAGTGCAAAATGCGCAAACGTGGTTGCATAGTGTCTAAACTCTTAGCCAAGATGTTGTGCAAGAGTGGTCTAACGCATATAATCACTATGGATCTCCATCAGAAAGAAATTCAAGGATTTTTTGATGTTCCTGTAGACAATCTGAGAGCTAGTCCATTTCTCTTGCAGTACATTCAAGAATCCGTATGTAATAATATATTGTTAGAATAATTTATAATTGTCATAGTTGATGTTATAATCTGTCTGCGATTTTGTAAAGCTTTCATTTGGACATATCAGAAATGACATTTTATGCAATATCACACACAAAATATTGTGCAATGTATAACTAGCACGAAACATGATATTGTTGTACAATTCCATAAATTTGATATAAAAGTCATGATGTATTTCGTTAATATTTCGTTTTTGCTTGCGGAAATTGTGTGACTGAGACTGCGTTCGGGGAGCGAGCAATAAGCGTTATTAGCGCATTCTATCTTTGTTGCATATATATAAAAAAATGACAAAGATAGAATGATGCTTTTTAGTGCTAATAACGCTAATAACGCTTCTCGAACGCAGCCTGAGTACACGACGATGACGATGCGTGCTTAATTCTCGCACTTGCGTATATGTGTGTTATGTCATATATCGTACTTTTATAGATTTTATTTTTTCCTGTCCTTAGATTCCCGACTATCATAATTCTGTGATCGTTGCAAGAAATCCGGGTAGCGCAAAAAAAGCAACTAGCTACGCCGAGAGATTGCGTCTAGGGATTGCAGTGATTCATGGAGAACAAAGGGAGGCTGAATCGGATATGAACGATGGTCGCTACTCACCACCCGCGTTAGCGTTGGCTTCGCGCACCATGGAAGTCGGTGTTGGTGTGCCAATGCACCCGGCAAAGGAAAAACCACCTATAAACGTCGTTGGAGACGTCGGTGGGCGTATCGCTATCATGGTGGTGGGTAAAGATTTTACTCAATATCGGTGTGTGCGTGTGTGTGTGCATCGAGGTTTTGCATTTAATTTTGATTCGATGACAACATGGGATTTTCAGGATGACATGATAGATGATGTACAGTCATATGTAGCAGCTGCTGAAGTGCTTAAAGAGAGAGGAGCTTGTAAAATATATGTCTTAGCTACGCACGGTTTACTTAGCTCGGACGCTCCCAGACTCATCGAGGAGTCACCAATTGATGAGGTAATAACGCAGCAAACGCACACACACACGCACACACACACACACACTATATACTTGTATAGTAATATATATATACATATAGTGTGTGTGCGCGTGTGTGCATACATATGTAATATTAAAATATGCAATAGTAAAACGTAATAATAAAACGATAGATAGTCGATTTTGCAGAGAAAATAAAAAAAAATAAAAGAGATTCATTAAGTATGATAAAAACGTCCTTTGATCTTTTCTTAATGAAATAGCAAATTCCTTTTGAATCACTTAAAAGATATTCTGTCTTATAAAGAGACTCTTAGCCCTCGGTACGTACTCTGTATGTAAATTTTGTTAGTTTTGTTACTGTACAATGCATTCGATTCTACTTAAGAGAGAATTTGTCTAAATGGAAAGAATCGGTAAAGTATTTTATTTATATTTACATTATTTTATATCTAAGGTTTTATCTCATTTTTGATTATTTATTGATTACAACAAGCACAGATCTTTGTTTCTCAATGTCGTAGGATTTAAAGACACAGTATACGGTAGTACATACTGAGGGTTCTGGTAGCTTCGTTCGATGCAACGTATTGAAATAAAAATACAAAGAAAAAACTTTGCTCGTCGAATTTTCTTTAGGTGGTTGTAACCAATACAGTTCCTCATGACGTGCAGAAAATGCAGTGCCCGAAAATCAAGACTGTTGATATCAGTATTCTCCTAGCGGAGGCAATTCGGCGTATACACAACAAAGAATCAATGTCCTATCTATTTAAGAATGTAACTTTGGAGGATTAGGAAGTAGACAATTGCATGCAAAATCGTGATCAAATCATAAATAAATAAAAATTGAAAGTTACACAAGATTCAATGCTGGGGACCATGTCCAAAGTACATATCCGTTTCTTGATTCTTTATACTATTTTTATATTTTCCCAATTGTGTTTTAACGTGACAAAAGAGAATGTATAAACTAGTCCATTGCGTTTGTGTGATGGTAAAAAGTCAATGGTAAACGGCCATAAATCCTAACTGTACATTTCCTTCTAGTTCTTGCGTAAAATGCAATTTTAAATATTGTAAAGTCTCAAGTAAGAACTCACGTGTATCATGTGCTTACCAGTCATCTAGTGCTAGCTAGTTTCGCTATATGATTCTAAGAGAAGTTCTCTTGTATTTTGTTTAAACCAAGATATATTTTACACACATACACACAAAGTATATATTTTGGTTTAAATAAAATTAAATAAAATTAAATAAAATATATATATGTATGTATTAGCATATATAAAGATTTTTCTGCGTAAATAGTTGGGCATATATCGAGAGAGAGAGAGAGAGAGAGAGAGAGAGAGAGAGAGAGAGAGAGAGAGAGAGAGAGAGAGAGAGAGAGAGAAGGAGGGAGGGTGAAAGAGGAGAGGGGGGAGAGAGAGAGAGAGAGAGAGAGAGAGAGAGAGAGAGAGAGAGAGAGGAGAGAGAGAGAGAGAGAGAGAGAGAGAGAAGGAGGGAGGGTGAAAGAGGAGAGGGAGAAACGGATGTTGCAGAATTACGAGAGATTCTTTTTTTAACGACGACAATTGCGAATAGCATATCAATTGATGTATCTGTCTGGATATAAAGGAAGTGTTGTCATGGAGACGTCTTGTGTTTGCCTCGGATGATTATTCTCCTTGTAGTAATTCCCATGTAGTATTCTGCATACAGTACAATTTCGTGTGAGATATCCACATGTGAATTTTGCATGTATCTCAATGTCGTTTTGTCATCCTAATTTTTAGAAAGAAATTCGTTTCGAAATAACATGGCGCAGAATCTTGAATTGAGCAAGATTATCGTTTCGTTACAAGCAGATGAAAAGACTCGTCGAAGACAAGCGTTAGAAGAGATAACAAAGTATATATCTCGCGAAGGAACGTTAAATAGTGTCGACGTTTTAGTTGAAATATGGGAGAGTGTACATAGGTATCTGGTCAGAATTTTGAACGACAATACAGAGATCTGTCGAGATCTGACAGTGGGAATTTTGAGAATATTTCTGGAAATTTTACCGCCTGACGACAAGCATATAATCTATGTTATACCGATAATGTCCAGACGCTTAGGCGTACAGCAGCGGATCGAGCCCTCGGAGGAAGTACGTTTGAAATGTGTGTCGCTTCTGCGAACTATAATACTCAAGTACAAGGACCTATTGGCGCCATATATCCCGGATATAACAAGAATAGCGACGCATACTGTTATGGACAGTTATCCAGACGTAAAGAAGGAGAGCTGCAAGTGTATATCAGATTACGCCAAGACTTTACCAAGGCATTTCTACTCGCAGTCAGAGTATTTGATCAAATCTGTCTTGAGCAATTTTACGCACCAACATTACAGAGTTCGGCTTGCCGCTGTTGAAGCGATAGGCAATGTGATGCGTTATGGAAACAGCAAGTCGATGGAGGAAGTTGCGACTCCTTTGGCGCAGAGGCTGTTCGATCAGAGTGGTATCGTTAGAGAAGGTACAACGACTACCTCGTAACGTACTTTTATTCTCTCTCTTGTTTCGCCTTATCGTTCGATTCTGTCTAATTGGATTGAATTTATAAAGCTGTAGTTCAGGTATCGGGCTGTTGGTTGACGGAGCTACCTGACAGGTACAGTTGGTGGCACAAGCTTCTTCCTCTGATCATGACCGGACTGCATGACGAACTAGCGGAAATTCGCGCGAAAGCAGCAAAGATGTGGGACGCTGCAGGAAAATTGTATATGGAGGAAAATGAGAACGACACCAGGCTGAAAGATAAAATGGATTTCCTTACCGAAAATCCGAAACATTATCCTGCAAATAGTACGTAATAGTTGATTATTCGAGAGACAGAAGAACAGCGTCCAATCCCGGGTATGGCCCATCAGAGGTATAGAGATGTATCGTTGCCCCTGCGCTCTCTCTTTTCACTTCAAGGGAAATATTTCTCGAAAGAGTTACCTTCGGACAAAAGATATCAAACTTGAGAGAATTCAGTCCGATCATATCCGATGTGACTCGGGACAATTTTGCATAATATGTGCACGAGCGTTGTTGAGCATGATTGATTCAGATCGATCGGTTAGTAAATTTTTCAACTATGCACTTGATTATTCGGTTACTTGTGAAAAGTTATTTGTCATTTATTTCGTCAATTTTTCCTCCTCGTTTTTCCTTCTCCTTCTCTTTTCGAATCGAAAGGTGCTGAAATTTTGTTCGTGCAATTTCGATTTCCTCAAGTTTGTATCACAAGAAGCCGACAGTAATCCCTGCCATGATAACGGAGGTTATTTGAATCGAATTGAAGATTATTTGACAAATTTTATTTCGCGCTAAGCCAAGTTGATATTATTCAGTATCAACATTATATCGCACAACTGTTGTTTTCTTTCTTTTTACCCGGTCTCGCCTGGTATCGCGGGATAATATCAATCATAGATCTATGAGGTCTATATTTGGGCACCTGCGAAATAAATGACCATAATGCAAGCGTGATGATTGTGTCTTGCCAAAATGAGGAATGAGAGCAGCAAGTGGGCCATATTGGGAGCTGAGTTGTGTTTAGATCAGGCTGCCAGGTGTCAGATATTGATCGTAATCCTTAGTTTCTAGACCGAATTTAGGATGTCGGATGATCGCACAGCAGAATCTGTGTAAGCTTATCAATGGCATCAGCGTCGAACTCGGGGACTGGTTGCCGGACATCCGTGTGCGTTCGGCACAATTACTCTGCGTGCTTATATTGAATGTGGAAGAAGACATTACACAGCATATCGAAAAGCTTCTGTCGTCGATGTATCGGTGAGAGTTTATGTCCCTACTATTTATTATGGTCATTAAGAAAACAAGAACACGCTGTTGTGTAATTCATCTTAGATACGTATACGTAGGCGTGATTATATAGTTTTCCTAAAAATCTGAGATTAATAATGTTGATATTAGACGAATTATTATTGGGATCGTTCTCGACTCTCATGATGAAGTTTTTATCCTAGATCCTAATGGAGATCTCGTGAATAAGAACAGCAACAGCAACAACAACAACAACAACAACAACAGCAATAGCAGTAGCAATAGCAATAGCAATAGCAATAAGAACAATAATAATAGTAAGATCGTAATGTTACGGTATTACACTTGTTGCAGCGCTTGCAGCGACGAAGATGAGAGAGTGGTGGGCTGCGTAGAAACCGCGGCGTTGTATCTCGGTTACTTCGTAGACCCTGCCATTTACTGCCACTTGGTGCTTCCCACTATGGAGGAATCTCCGACAGCCGGACATTTGCGTGTCCTCGCAGCGATTATCAGCGGTAGCGAACGGAAAGCTCTCGCGCTACGGTTGGACACGATCGCAAATTTCTTGCAGCAACCTCACATCTGCCGGAGCGAGAGAAGCAACTATCAACGTCAGTTACTATCCTGCTGCAACGCGCTTCTCGTGGTTTGCGAACAGGTTCAGTCTCTTTCTCCCCTTTTCAACTGATATCCCGAGCACCGAGTTATCGTAGAGTGAAAAAGCGACGTGAAAAAGTGTGTCGAGATTCGTATTTTACCTTTCCGGCATTTCTTTCCCTTTCAACTTTCCGCACTTTGCATCGCTTCCAACTGAAAGGATGCAATCCAAAGTTCCTGTGTGCATTTCATTCAGATACGCATCGTATCGCGAAGGCGTATCGAAGGAGCGCCTCTGTCGGTTCTCTCGATTCAGCAACATAATCCAAATATTTCTATTTCTATTATATTCTACAGGATTGTGTCGCGGTTACTCGATCTCTATTCGTTGCGATATTTACCACGTATGCGATGAGCACGGAGACCTGCATTCGTGAAGAAACGAACAGGCTGCTGAAGGTACTCGTTGACATAAACTGCCCGTCGCTGACGGACGTCGAGGATCTCTTTCGTGATCACTCGGAGATGCTGATAACATCGATTCACGGCGACTGCGCCTCATGGTCGGTGTACAGCGTGGAATCGCTGATATTCAGCGCTTGCCTGAGTCGCGGTGGAATCGCGATCGCGCGCAACGTTGACCTCGTGTTGTCTATCCTCGAGAGAACCATGGCCGAGGACGCTGATCCCGGGTTGAAGCTGCGACACTTGATTCTGTTGTCGGAATATTTCTCCAGCAAACCGGGCTTGCGACCAAGTGGCGGCAAGCCGCACAAATTCATCAGCGTTACAATCGAGAAGCTTGTCACGCCGGGATTAGTTTGGGCCGCTGGCAGAGCGGCTGAAGCTATACGCACAGCGGCTGTCTGTTGCCTCTGCGCGATTCTACAGTACGAGATAGCGATTCACAGCGACAGAGCGATCCCATCTTCGGCTCCTGCCCGATCGGAAAGCGGCGAGTCCGACACCTCTATCACAGCACAGCAGTTTTCGTCCATCTTGGACAAAGTCCTGCCCATTTTGCTCAGTCTGGCGGACGATAAGGCGAAGAAGGCTAGATTATATTCCATACGCGCTATCAGTTCGATAGTAACTATTGGTCTGAAGCTGTCTCGTCTAACGGACGAACATATTCATCGTACATATCCGGTGATACTGAAAAGACTCGACGATGGCTGCGATGACGTTCGCTACGCCGCTGTGGAAGCGCTCGTGGAAGTATGGAGCGTCGCGTCCGTAGATTACGACATCGTCGTCAGCAAGAGTCATATCGACGCTCTGTACACGACGATGATTGTACATTTGGATGACCCAGAATTTCACTTCCAATCAGTAATGTTGGGTAACGACAAGATTGTTGTTGTAGATTTTTCCTTTCTTTTTCGCAATTACACAACCCAATGTTACTCCCTGATATTTTTGCTACAATGTATCGTGATATAACTAACAATGCAATTTTGCTGTTTTTCCAGACGCACTGAAACGGGTCGCAAGGATTTTTCCAGAGTTATTGTATCAAAAATTACACAATTGTCGATCGAATTTTAGAAACGAAGCAGGTGTAGATGCACTCTTGGAGCACTGTCAAAATATATTGAAGAAGGATTAGAAACATTCCTTCCCACAAAGATAGACACACGATGTATGAAACGTGTAGGAAATAAGCAATTTCTCAGTTTTTACACATTTATCTATCATAAATAAAAGGAGCCATAAACTAAAGTTTCCAAATTAATAGGTATTTGAGATTTCATTGATAGTCTCTCTCTCTCTCTCTCTATATGTGTGTGTGTGTGTGTGTGTCGCGTGTGTGTGTGTGTCGCGTGTGTGCGCGCGAGCACACATGCATATTTTAGGGCGTAAAATGATATGAGAAAACTTACTTGTCCAAGCAAATGTGTTATACACAATCGTGGTTTTGTATGTAAATTCGATTGTATTGATGTATCCGAATGAGTAGAGATCCGAACTGGAAGACAAATTTCCCAGCCTTGCCTGGGAATCAAGTCTATTGTGCCTACTGCATATCGCAACTGTTGGTTAAGGCAGCAACTACGACAGTGGGGATATCAGAGTGTCCGCTTAGTTCCTTTTTTTCCTTTTTTTTTTTAATACACGAAAATACGCGCAAATGTGACTAAACCTATAATGAAGCGACCAATAGCCCTCTACCTAATTATCAAAGATGGCTGTTGATGCAACAGACTTTACTTGCAAAAATAGTACGACTGGCTGGTCGTAAAAATTATCATATCGATTAAAAGGGCAAACATCTACGAATCGACGTCAATATTATTTATATCAATTAGAGATGTAAGTTCTCATTGCACATATTGCGTTGCATCGCGTGTATTTTGTGTTTTTAAACGTACATCCATATTTCAAGCGTGTCGATTGTCGCCATCGAACAACTAGACGCGGCTGTTGAACGTGTCAAGCGTTCGTTTGTTTTAAATATTAAGCTGATCTCTGAGTCTAGTTCGTCTTCGATATCAGGCGACATAACCTATACTACTCAGACATATATTTACGGCGGTTTACAGTGGTCGCCAGAGCAGGAAGTACCCGCCCTTCTGCGTGCCGCCATGTTGTCCATGTCTTCCGCTTGCCAAGAGACATGAAGCGGAAGGGTAGACTAACAAACAAGATTAATAGTTGTCGATAATTCTGTGCGGATTTTCGTAGACGCGAAAGTTTGCGATCGTCGCGTGGTCATAAGCTGCATCAAGCTATTCGAGAGGAACGGTAAGTGTATGGAATATGTGTCTCGCGAATAGCAAGCTCGTGCAAGTACTCGAGCGAGCGAGTTTTCTCCAGTCAGACGTGGAGTCAGTCTGAGAAGTCGTCTCAGCTTTGGGTCAGAATACGAGGGGGATGTTGGAAAAGCTACGGCTTGTTGTAGAATCTTTTCGTAATAATGCAGCGCACAACGACGCGATCCACTTTCGACGTGCATGTTTTATGCTCTCCGTTCTCGTGAATAAGCTTAACGCTGATTGTAAAATCAGTTTTTTTTTTTTATTTGGTTACCGATGGTGCCGATTGAAAGACGAAACTCGACGGAATTGTCTCGATTCTTGCAACAAGTTGCAAGAAAAGAAAGAGAGAAAGAAGAGAGAATGAAAGAGTGCCGAAAGAAGATGAAAAAGATGAAATTTAGTAGAAAAAAAAGAAACGAAATTCTGTGTGTAAAACGTGTGTGTTAATTTTCTCATATCGCTCTTTCCCATGATAGATCTTTTTACGTTTTTGCATTTTTGATCTTTTTACGTTCTGTTATATATTCTTTTCAAGTCATATCATCTTTCGTCATTAAAACAGGATGAATATACACTTTTGCTTTTAACAGGCGGTAAAAATGAATTTTTATTCCAATAGGATAGTGAAACAGCATTGGAAGGTGTAATTAGTGCAATCAGATCAGAAAGGACGATTTTTTCTCTGTTCTTTTTTGCCACTTTTTTTACCTCTTACGCTCAACGTCCCCTTCTCACAAAGTCTTAATATATCGCTATTTCGCTTTTGATATGAAAAGTGCAAGCGAATCGTAGCTCAAATAAGGAGATAAATATTACTTGTGTTTGTGAGATTCGTTCGTCTCGATTGTTTGAATTTGTTCTTTGTTTCTTTTCTCTGTTGTATTCCGAATGTTATGCGTCTATCTCACTTTGAGAGTGCAAGAAAGTGCAATAAAGATGGACAGACCCTCGTTCCACCGTGCTTGAAGATGTGAGGATTTCTCACTGCTTCGTGTCATTATGTGTGGTCGCCCGATCGATCTTGGAACTTTCTAAAAATATTTCACATATGCGTGCGTTTTTTCGCCTTTCTTTATCCAATTTGTTGCTGTAGTCGTTATCGTCGTACGTTGCCAAATTTTCCTAGTTTTTAGCAAGTGAGAATTTTATATTGTTTGTGGACGTGTTCTCTCTCTCTCTCTCTCTCTCTCTCTCTCTCTCTCTCTCTCTCTCTCTCTCTCTCTCACTCACTCACTCACTCACTCACTCACTCACTCACTCACTCACTCACTCACTCACTCACTCACTCACTCACTCACTCACTCACTCACTCACTCACTCACTCACTCACTCACTCACTCACTCACTCACTCACTCACTCACTCTCACTCTCACATACACACACATACACACACACACACACGTCTATTTATACACATACACACACACGCATATACTTTTTTGTTTCTCTTGATTTGAATATAGAGATGTCTGAACCTGCAAGTGATCATGTAGATGCATTGGAAGAGGAATTGGAAGTGGAGTCTGATTATAAGCCTCCACCAGAAAAAACTATTGAACAAATCCTAGAGACAGACAAGGAGGATGAGAGTCTACGGAAATATAAAGAAACGCTTTTAGGAGAAGCCAAGGCTGGTGGTGTTGTAGTAGGTGAGTCAGTTTTATCTTTTCTCTTTTCACAGTAATATTGCTACTCTACAGTAATCTCACTGCAGTGATACCACTATTCTCAATATATCAATCATAATAGGAACATTTGTACACATGCTGATCAATCAAATTGTGCAGATCCTAATGATCCTAGACAAGTAATAGTAAAGAAATTGGCTCTCTGTGTTGCCGAACGACCCGACATGGAATTAGATTTGACTGGTGACTTGGCACAGTTGAAAAAACAGACATTTGTCATTAAAGAAGGTGTAAGCTATAGAATCAGGATTGATTTTATCGTACAACGTGAGATTGTGCATGGGTTGAAGTATGTTCAGAAAACTTATCGTCTCGGTGTACCTGGTACGTTCTTTGTATCTTTGCTATCTCACTTTCAATATAACAATACTGATATTTGTGTGTATTTCAAATTGTTTGGAATAAATTTTATTTCTTGTTAATGCTAATGCAAATTATAGGAGTCACAGGTAAGTATAATATGAAACAGAGTCACGTGTGCGTGAGTGCATACGTACATGTATGTATGCATAACATAGCCGCAGATAATAGGTTTTATATCTATAATTTGACCTTGCAGTGGACAAAATGACGCATATGGTGGGATCATATCCTCCTAAGACGGAGCTTCAGTCTTATACTACGCCAGCCGAAGATGCGCCAGCTGGTGTAATGGCACGAGGTTCCTACAGCGTCAGTTCACTCTTTACGGACGACGACAAGCACGAACATCTCAAGTGGGAATGGGCGTTTGAGATTAAGAAGGATTGGAAAGAATAAGTCGTTTCCTATTTCGTAGAAATACGAAAGGAGTCGAAGAGATAATAATTATTCATAAGTAGCATTACCATACACTCTGCGAATAATAATTAAAGAAACAAAATGCCAAAACAGATTTATACATTCACGGATGCATTCTTAATGTCATTTAATTGCGCTCGATACTGTGTTGCCATATATAACATCAAATCAACTAATCATATATTTTAAGTAAAAACACAGAAAAAGAATGTATAATCGATATTTATTAAGAGCTGTCCTTATATTTGATTGGATATCCAATCATAAGAATAGTACTCGACAATTGCGAGATACACGCGCGAGGGCGCGCGCGCGCAGGCACACACACACACACACACACACACACACACACACACCGCGCCGCCGCGCACACCACACACACACACACACACACACACACACACACACACACACACACAACAAACAAACATATACATGTACATGCAAAACATATACATTAGTCACTAGCAAACAGCATAGATAACGATTATTCGAGTGATGAATGATGCGACAAGCTGTGTGAGATTTCCAGAATAAGTATTTTATGTATTTATGAGCAATGTTTATAACTAACGGCCATCTACTGTTGTCTAAAATAAGAGCTGTGCTTTAAACGTGGGAAATATTTGATGAATCACAATATTAGTCCCGATTGTTGTACATATCCACATCATTCTGTGTGACATACGAGCCAAGACGCGAATTTGTCACGGTGAAAAATCTGGATATCTGGCGGTTTAAAAGTGAAACAGGGAGGAAAGGAGAGAGAAAGAGAGAAAAAGAAAGATGTCGCAATATTTTTATATTTTATCTTCATATTATACCATCTCAAAATATTCTAATGACGATATTACGATACAGTGAACGTCTTAATATCATCAGCATTGTGTTATAATTAAAAAGTAGAATAAAAGTACAATTTTGATTGCACTATCGCGATACATAACAACATGTTTCGATTAACAATTTAATTGCTACCTCTCATTGTTGAGTAAAGTAAATTTTACGACGATGAAATTTCTGCTATAGCATTTTGCGAAACAGACGGTCTTTGTGTACGATAATTATGTTTCTCTACATTAGAATTCATATAATGGACTGATTTAGTAAAATTTCTGCATAAATGACTTTTGTCTGGTTCATAGAATAAACATAGAAACTATTAATGTTAGAAATATGTCACTAATCTTGTTTTTTTTTTTTTTGTTCAGCGAAAGGGGGTCTATTCTTCTCATACACAACGTGTATGACCCAAATAATGGATGTATGCGAAATTAATTGTTCCTTCTTTCTGGAATAAATCTAAGAAGAATGGCAGTTAATAATACGAATTGTGGCCCCGATTAACAATCGCTAAATGATACCGATACTATTGTCTTTTACATCTTGCATCTTTATCGCAAATACGATCGTTATTACAGACAATGTACCGATTCGTCACAACAGTCGAAAACTTGTCGATTTCTCGAATCCTTAATCGAGGCTCGGTAACGTGTGGCTCAAGATGACGCATAGTGCGTTAAACAATAGTGAATATCTCGTGATGCAGTAGGAACAATCGATTATGCTATTTCTTGCCTATTATATCGTATATCTTTAGTGCTTTGTTGGTTAATTATAACAAGTTTTTGATTCTACTCTACAGTGGAGGCGAGAATCAATCATACTGAATACCGCGCGCGTTTGTCTGCGCCTCCGGAGCTTTGTGTACAATTTATCGGCATATTTATGGTCTGGTTGCTCGGAACAGTCTGACTCGTCATCAACGGAGTATCAAAGGATATCTCTTGGATCAAAAGATGCAAAAATATGTAAAATTCAATTCAATAGATTTAAAAAGGCAAAATGAATATAATTATTTTCTCGCACACGTTATACATCTTTTTCTTGGGTTATAGAAATCGTTAATATTTCCTGCGTAAGAAGAAATTAATAGAGTTTGATAATTATGAAAAATAGTCTTGAGACCGAGAAGAAAAGTATGAATATATATATATATATATAAATTGTTTTCCGTATCTTTCGTATCATCCAAGCATTTGGAAGAGAAACTTGAGCATTCTGCTTCTGGTATCTCGTACAAGTGGAGCTTGCACGCTTTATTACATCGTCTCTCGAGCTTGCCAAAATTATTATCGGGTAACGTTAATTTGCGCGCATATGCTTTCAGCGCGTATCCTTCGTGAGAGTATGGTGTAGTGTGTGATATAGCGAATGTGCTTCTATTACACTCCGAATAAGTTTCGGCCAAGTTTCGATCATCCAATCCAGAAACGCACATCATCTAATGAGAGAAGTAATATGTGTAAAAATGTGTATATTTCTCATATGGTTATACCATATATATTAAAGCCTATGATATATTCGATACCGTCGTACCGACCAACTGTAGAGGCTATTATAGGATTGCCGCGTATTTGTACAATAACGAGCGACACGGAGCAGGATATAAGAATAGAAAGTTTTGTATCTTTACTACAAGTTTCATGAAAACACAAGTAGATTGAGAATAGAGTTTCTTCATAAAGAGTGTCACTGAGTATTGTTGTTACGCATACATGCAGGTAAGACCGAATCGTTTCGCACTTCATCAATAATATCGTTACATTTATCTTTCAAGGCACAAAAATAAGAGGTAGTTGGCTTCCGATTGTATTCCTGCGATGGTATCACTTCTTATCGTTGAATTACGTTCGTAGTTTTCCTTTACCTCTCTTTTTTTGTACATTCATTCCCATAAGCAGAGAGAGGGGGAAGAGAGAGAGAGAGAGAGAGAGAGAGAGAGAGAGAGAGAGAGAGAGAGAGAGAGAGAGAGAGAGAGAGAGAGAGAGAGAGAGAGAGAGAGTTATCTGATGACAAATTAAGCATAGATTTTGTGTACTTTGTATACCATGTGTATCCATTTATATCATGTGATGTTACATATATGCACACATACATGTATGTATATTGTATCGTCGGCAAGTACGATTATTATATAGAAAATATAAAACGTACACAAGTACAACTTTCGCTTTTATGTTTTTTATTTATTATCTTTTAGACATTTCTACGCTTCTATTTTTGTAATGTCTTGGGAATATTTCATCAGAAGATTGTGTATGTACACACACACACACACACACACACACACACACACACACACACACACACACTATATATATATAACTTGGCAGATGTATAATTTTTTATACATTATATAGCAAATATAGACAAGATGCAAGTAGCAAAATAATGAGTCCTAGATATCAACATGTTCCTATAGTAGCACGTACTTGTACATGAGTTGATCTACTGCTATCTGCAACCACTTATTCGAGATTATAGTTCGCTGTGTGGGTATATTCGGTACTGTCGTTGTCGCCTCCGCCGCCGTCGCTGGTAACGTCTATTGCGATCGCTCTGCAACTCGGCCACGGTCACGGTCACGGTCATGGTCACGGTCACGGTCTACTCCACAGCCTCTTTCGCGAGCTCTTTCGTTCCCTCCGCTGCTATCTGACGGTCAGCGAACCCGCGGCCCGTTCTTGCGACGATGCATACACGGTTGCGCAAGCAACGTTTTCTCATGTCAAACCTTGAGTCTACTTTAGACGATTTATAATTCACGACTCTGATATATTGTGCGTACATATATTTATAAATTTTCGTATTATTTCCGAGCGTTACACGACACATAAAGTTAGAGACATTATAGATATGTTATTTTATTAAATTTTATTTATTGCGAATATTATATAGATTATCCAGAGTTGGTTTTCAAGAAATATAGCAGTAGCAAATACACACGCGCCATATACACACGCAGCACATTTGTATACTTCGTCATACATATGAAATATTTCACCGCGCCGCGCACACACGTGTTTCAATTATTGTTGTAAAGATCGAGATCGACAGGCAGGAGAGAAAAAGAAGAGAAGGGATGACACTCTCTCACTTGATGCTTTTCACGATTTTACGCGGCACGATCGATGGCATCCGATCGAGCAATCGAGAGAGAGAGAGAGAGAGAGAGAGAGAGATACGCGGTCGCAAGATTTGACTGACTGATGTTAATCAGTGCAAGAGCACGAGCACGGGGAATTCGCGAAAAACATATTCTCCAAAAATTGATGTCAGCTTTTGTCAGCATTTAGATAATGTTGGTTCGCTAATGTTGGTATGCATATCAGCATGATCGTTAGGCAACAAATGGCAACAAACATATTCAATTAATACTCATATCTCACTTACTACTACTAAGGTAACTATAAGATGCTTCGTTAAAATGACAATTTCTGGATTCTGAAAAAGTCAATTGCTCACAATCTCTATCATTGTTCCAGGGTTCATGCGCGATGGTATGGATAAAATGCTCCTTTGTGCTAACGGGAATATCGTATCACTCGGAAACTTGACGCAACATATCGTTTCATTCTTCAAATTCTCACTATTCAAACTGCAGAGTAGGACTTCTGAGTAAAATAATCGCGTGCTAACTCGACAATCCGTCCGTACAGTAGTAAGTAGCTATAGCTAAGAAAACGTACGTCATCAACGTCAAGTTTCATTAGTATTAAAAATTGAGATATCGCGTTCGACCGAGTCATGAGTTTTCGTCCGGTCGCGGCGCGGGCGATTCAGTTGTACGAACCGAGATCTTTTTCAAGCGTTCAACTCTGAAGAATCGACCGATGAGCCGCGTCGCGATGGTTCGCGACGTGATAATAATTTCCGCATCCTCAGACACTGAACGCTGACATTCGCTGAAGGCTGAAACGGACCATCGTGCTGACGATGGGGAGAGAGTCCGGGGAGTGAACTCGGGCGGACACGCGCGAGATTCTCGTTAGACACGCTCGAGAAAGCCCTGGCTCCTCGAGCCAAATCAAATTAAGTCGTGGCTATCGCGACTAATTTGGAATAGCTTCTTTAATTGGTCGCGGTTCTTCTTTAATAGCTCAAACGGCTGTGCTCGATGCGAAACACATAACGGGATCTCGTGTCCGCCGCGCGGCTGTTGCCAATGATATATGTATATACCGTTCGTCGGATTCAGACACTCGGAAATTCGACGGGATGAACGGGAAGAACGCGGCGCACTATACAAGCATAGTGCATGACGAATAGAGAGAGAGAGAGAGAGAGAGAGAGAGAGAGAGAGAGATACTATATCGAGAGAGATGGTGGTTTAGTCAAGTTTTATCTCTTCATCGACAGACTAATTAGACAAGATCTTCGAGTCTTTCATTCTCGCGCTTCTTTCCTCACGGTAACGGTGGAATCGGACATCAGTCACGTACGTAGATACAAGGGAAAGCTTCCGAAATATCCTTCCTCTTCTACCTCTGCTTCTACTCGCTCCTCGTCCCCTCGTCCTCCTGTTTCGAGAGCGCAGCGATTTGATGAGATGCGACATCGTCCGGATTTACCGTGCGCGCTTGGTATTTCATTCGAGTTTGAATCATTTGTGAAAGGCGTTACACAGTCGTTGATCTGTCGGATTCCATCTGGCGAGAAATCGCATTGTAAGTTATAGGAGTTAGCGAAATGAATCAAGTCCGAGTTAATTTAGTTCAGCGAGATTTCTAACGGTAGAACGGCTATCTCTCGCAAATGGGAACTTTATTATTATTATTATTATCACCACACGGTTACTGTGGTGAAAAAAGTTAGCCGTCGATGAAGAAGAATATCGGGGAGCATTGTAGAAATAAGGACAGCTTTTAACCATCGATCAATAAGAATATTTTTGTGTCAATGTTTTAGAGAGAGATAGAGATAGAGATAGAGAGAGAGAGAGAGAGAGAGAGAGAGAGAGAGAGAGAGAGAGAGAGAGAGAGGAGAGGAGGGGAGAGAGAGAGGGAGGGAGAGAGAGAGAGAGAGAGAGAGAGAGAGAGAGAGAGAGAGAGAGAGAGAGAGAGAGAGAGAGAGAGAGAGAGAGAGAGGAGATTGATGCTCGTACTTTCGTAAACGAGGACGCTTTCGTTGTATAAAACCGAATTAAGATCGAGATAGATTAAACAATTTCACACGGAATTGATGTGTACACGTTTGGGAAAGGTGTCGTTTGTATAAAATGAAGGTGAAACGAAAGGAAATAACGGTAAAATAACGGTAAAAATATGTGTAATTGTGTAGGATGTTTGAAATAAAAGACGCATAGATATATAATAATTTTCTCTTTCGTAGAAGAAGTAAAAAATTAAGCGAACGACTTGATTCTAATCGAGGAGGAAGATTCGTGCGCGGCCTGTCTCGCTGGCATGCGAGACAGACGGGGATGTCTCGTATCGATTCTACCGTTCACTCGTCGCGTAGCGAGAGCGACTCGCGCGATGATAATACGAAATCGCAATGCAATATATTGTGGAATCGACGCTGCATAAGAAGCGTCTCTCGTGAAGTGAGGTCCACTACTGCCCCTGCCGTGACCTAACTGCCGACACAACAGTCTGATGTGTACGTTTATCCTTTGTGCCTTCTCTCTATTCGTTTCGCTTCTTTCCGTCATCTTCTCCATTGTGCGTCATCTCTCTCTCTCTCTCTCTCTCTCTCTCTCTCTCTCTCTCTCTCTCTCCTCTTCCCTCCATCTTTCCATCCGCACCTTTTTTTGTTTCCTCGCTCCGAATCACCGTCAACGATCGGTTTCAATTAACATTGCTTCATATCTTTGAACAGATATCTTTCTCGCATACATTGCACGTGCGACGTGCGCTTCGTCAAATCTTGCGTTCTTGCGTAACATGGCGACGAAATGAAGCGAAATAATGAAGACTGAAGCAGAGGGCTATATGATTTCTACTTATCCGTCGTCTTCTTTCGAAACGAGGATGCGAGCAAACGAGAGAAATGTGCTGCAACGCGCACGTGCGAGATGGTTAGTTTCGAAGCAAGATGCGCATAATGCGTAACGATGCGAGAGGTGTGCGATCCTGGCTCAAGGCTCAAGGCGCAAGGCGCCGCGGGTGTTTAGCCGCCATCGCACTGAAGGTGCGAAGGGCTTCGCCGCCGCCGCCGTCGACTCATTCACACACACACATACACACCTCCCTCATACGTGAGCTCTGATGCTAGTAGCGCGCTCTCGCTACGAGAGCGTCGCGTCGCGTCGCGTCGGTCGCGTTTTCGCGTACTCTGCGAGGCCCTGGTACGCCTGCTCCGTCTGCTCCGCCTGCTCCGCCTGCTCCGCCGCGCCGCCGTCTGCTCTGCTGCCGGCTAGCTAGGAGCGGCCTGTCCTGCCTGCAGCCTGTACTGAGTACTCTCGCCGGTGCCGGTGCTGCGCGGCGAACTTTAGTAGCGTGACGAGCGTCGATCCGTTTGTTTCGTGTATTCGCGCTCCTCTTTCCGCTTGCTCTGCTATTGCGGCTTCCCTGTTCTTCGTTTCTTCATCTCTCGTCGTCTCTTCTTGTTTCTCGCGTGTTTCGCGCTATATACAACGAGACGCAGGACGCAGCCTGCCTATTCGTGAATCGAATCGAGTCGGGTTTATCAGTCTCCAGCTCCAGTCAAATTTCCAGTCCGGTCGAATCGCGTCGAAACGAGACGGGACGAGACGGGACGGGACGAGACGAGACGAGACGAGACGAGACGAACGCGCGCGCGCGCGCGCGTGTGTGCTATCGATACACTCGGTGAACGAGCGCAGGAGCCAACGATCGAGGGAGGCAGGACTCAACGGCGAAGGAGCGAGTAAGGGAAAAAGAAAGACGTGTAACACAGAGACGTGTAAGTAGAGCCGGTCTTGGCTTCCTGTCTGTGCTTATCGGTGGAACGCGGCAACGACCGACGTTGCAAATTCCGGTCCCGGTTTGGATAATGCTCACGTCCTGCTTCGTCCCTCTCGAATCCATATGCACATCCTGTTGTGTATATATATCTTGTATCTTCGATCAACGAAACACGAAAGCGACGAAAGCGTGGATCTTCTCCGTGGATTGTGTCCGACTATTAATCACTGTTGTGTCGCTTTCGAACGTCTCTCGTGCCCGATGACGACGCTAGTTTGCGAGTTAATTGCAAATTGTACAGCGGAGTTGAGATTCGACATTTCTCGATTACAAAGGGCGTACCGTCCATTAGCGTCCAGTCCCCCCCTCCCCCCCCCGGCATTAGCATACGCCACAGGGCCATAGGGCACGTCTGACTCGCGCGATGATCGGTTCAACATCAGCATAAACACATTGTGTACAACGATACATTATATAATGATGATCAAAATCTAATTTGATGTTAAACGTTCGGAATATTGCCGACGACAAAATTTACAAGAAGATGGAGAGTTGACAAATATGACAAATAGAAATATAACAAGTAGATTTGAGAAATACTCAACTGTAAATTAATCAATTAATTGTACGTTAGGATGGAAGGATGGAAACGTATACACAAGTTTTCAGACAGATGGGATGGATATGCACACGTATACGCAAGTTCGTCAAGTCGGCAGAAAAATCGGAACGGGTATCGAATAGAGTAGAGCCAGTTTCGTGTACCTTTTCATTTGAGAATGTTGGGCGTTGCAACGGCCGTTAGCAAACGACAGCAAACAGTTATCGACTGACAGATCGTAATTGACAGTCCAGAGCCACAGGGATGTTTACGTTTATTAAGTCTAATCGATTCGGAACAGGTTTCTTTCTTTCAAAGTATATCATCGTGGTCGCAAAATAATATTTCATTTTGCCGATTGGTACTTCGAAATATACGAGGTGAGCCTTTCGTCATCCGCGCGCGCGCGCGCGTGTGTATGTAGCTCCGAAAAGTTATTCCCGAAAAACTGCTTAACCTTCATTATTTAGAAGATAGATATTTGTTAATTGATATTTGTGTGTTTTTGTTGGGGGAAAGGGAGGAAATATCAAATCTTTTGGCGTACGTTGTCATACAAATAACAATATATATACATGTATATATAACAAGTGTCCGACTGGTTGACATTAGTCCGAAGATTAAAACAAAATTTACTTCAAGTCGTTATCGTTATCTATCTGTATCTTTTTAATCGAGTCTTTGTCGATACAATCAACTATCTTGCATAATGAATTAAGATAAAATGAGTTAGGACAACATTATTTAAAATCCGATTATAAATCTAAATTTTGATCTAAATGTTGACTTGAGCTACAAGTATACGTCAAAGGATGGAGTGGTAACGATTGAAATTGAGAATACATGTAACTCTCGACGGGCCATTGACAGTTCCTATAGAAGCTGGAAAGGACGGAAAGGCAACGCGCGGCTTCGCGTTGCGACGGACGGCGTGAAAATTGTTGTCGATACGCGTCCTTCGTTTCGGTCGCCGGAGACTAACTATTTTTAGCGACCTTCACAGGAGGGATGTACTGTCTCTCTGTCTCTCTGTCTCTGTCTCTCTCTCTCTCTCTCTCTCTCTCTCTCTCTCTCTCTCTCTCTCTCTCTCTCTCTCTCTCTCTCTCTCTCTCTCCCCCTCCCTCTCCCCCTCCTTCCCTCCCCCTCTCTCTCTCCCTCCTTCCCTCCCTCTCTCTCTCTCTCTCTCTCCTCTCCCTCTCCCCCCTCTCTCTCCCTATCCCTCTCCCTCTCTCTGTAGCGGGGTTGCTCATGAGGGAGCATGTGCTTTTATTTCGTACGGAAGCACTGCTCGCGGCACGGTGCATGGTGAGTCAGCCGGTGTGAGTCGGTTGCTTTCGAATTCTCATCGGCTCGTTTGCCTGCCTGACTGCGCTGGGTGGGGTTGTTGGGTCTGGGATAAAACGAAAGGGCGCTCCGTTCACAGAGCATACATGAACACGCCAAAAGCGCCGATTATCGTCACTATCATCATTTTTCACGTAGAAATGTATCATGCCGAATTGGGCGAAGCGCGCTATCTCAGTCATACACGGGTCGTCGATGATGTCGACGACGTTGGAGCGGTGTTAGTGACGTTCGCGTGTTATTACGATAACTTAACTGGTCGCCATCACATACATGTGCATTCAGCGCTACTTAACCACTAGAGACATAAAGTGACAAAAAGGGTTCATGGCGTGCGGGCACGAGTTTCGCGTTCGCGCGTGCTGCACCGGTTTTTCATTCGTGCCTTTTTGCTGCAGCTGCAGCTTCAGAGCTCCATCTGAAAGAAAGAAAAACATGCATACGTGCGAGAAGAGAAGAAAAAAATAACGCGCTTGGTTACGCATTCTATATGGGCCATCTTCTCCTCTTCTTTGTGCCTTATATTTTTTTGCTATATTTTACTTCGAGTACAAAAGTGACTAGTTGGTTTTCTTTTCTATATATTTTCTATACGTAGATTGTAGAGTGAAACAAAGTATTTCATCGCTTAACAAACGTCTTTTTTCTATCAATTAATCCCTGGCATTTCTCCGAGAGTTTGAGAGAGAGCATTTGATACTACAGTATGCTGCTATATCGTGTACGTTACATGATGAACCGTCGTGTCGGTCGGTATCATCTCGCGATATATATAGCGGATCGTTCATTATTCTTCACGTTATAGCGTGTCGAACACGTAGCACCGCGACACGGATCTCGTCTGTTGTGCGGTATACTTCATATATATACACTTCTTTTTCCGCGTTTTTTTCTTCTTTTTTTTTCATTATTTTTGTACACTTCCAATCTTTATTGCACGGTCTCTCGCATTTCCGACGCATAACGGATTTTACTTTGAGCGAAAAGGAGCTTGCGTGACTCAATCGCTGCAATCTCGTTGAAGGCAACTGAATCACTTAACGCGTGCAATATTTGAGCGTAAACACCGCGGATTTTCTCCAATTAGTGTCAATATGTTGGAACGAGAACAGGCTGCGTACTATCTTGTAATTTGGTGGTAGAAGTGATCAAGATAGATATTATTTTGAACTATTCTACGATTAACACCGAAGTTTCCCCACAATTCTTTCAAAGTTGGTATGCCGATTTCGATGAAAGAGAGAAGAACATTCCGGATTGTATCCAGATTTACATTCAGAAATGAAAGGGTGTAAAGGTAAAGACAGAAAGACTGAAAGCGACGATAACGCGTATCAGTATAATATTCAGCGGTGAATACTAAATTCGGGCAAAAATCTGTCCATTCGCGACCGAATCTTGGACCGATACTTTTATGACTTTTATTATTCATCCTGTTTGGATTTGTAAAAGAGTAATTTCGTTACTCGTGCTATGTTTGCAACTGTTCTAAAAAACTGATCGTTACGAGTACGTTTTTAGGTGTCTCTTTAACTGGTCGATGACCACTTATTTATTTATTCACCGTAGTCATGTAGGACGTCATTGTCATGTACGTATATGTACCTTTTACTTTGAATTTAATTTTGATACATGTAAAACAAAATTATTGCGTTTAATTTAGGTTTGCAATATCTCATAATATCTTGTTCTATCTTAATTCGTAAGAAATACTTTTTGTCCACACACACACACACACACACACACACACACACACACACACAACATTTGATTGCTCGACAAATTAAAGGATATCCTCGGTTCCCCTACGATCAATCGAGTATACATGAAACGTCTCTTTATTCTTCAACGTTGTCCTCGTTGGCTAGTGCTGAAAGTATTTCCGTTCGATTTCGTGACGGGAAAATTGAAAAGCAAATCTACCTGCGCCGTTGTTGATAAAACGATACCCGCTTTCACTAATCAAGCCCTATATAGCTTACATTTTTCCACCGGATATACGCAAATTGTTGCTTGTATACGCTTACTTAGTACATCATCCGATACAATTCGGTACAATGATATCTTCTTTCTTCAGTAGGAGAAGGAGAAAATGACCCAAATATCCAGCTCTTTGTTACACAGTACAGACGTAGTATACGTAGTAGTGTAGTAGTGTATATATCGAAAAGCTTCATCTTTCAATTTTTATACCAGGAATAACACGATTTTTACAACTTATTACTTAAAATTACTATACTCACGGAACATTTGGGAAGAAAATTTTAAATTTCTGCGGATTTGATGCAATCGACAAATTTATGCTGATTATGAAACAATGAAAGAGTTTTGCTTCAGACTGTTTCTCACTGTACGGATCGGTTACGGTGTAACACCGGTTCAGCGACACGTAGTACGTACCAAGTTGAGCGTCACTCGCAGCCGTAAATACCATCGACTGTACGGGGTGTCTCGAATATCGTTCGAATACAGTATCGACAGTTCGGTCACACATTTTTGGCCGAGCTCTTACTCATTATACGCGACACAACTTTTTGTTCGTTTTTACTGTCGAATCAATTTTTAAAATGGAAAGGAAAAGAAAAAAACGAGCACGAACTTTTTGCACGTGTCAAAAATTTCGCATGCGATGATATCGCTCAATAATGTTCCGGTTCCGGCATCCGGCAGTATCGGGCAATTGTACGATACAATTACTCAGTCTATTTACCTCACAATTGCTACCACATATTACAAAGTGTTCTTCCCATTCCAGGTGGATGAATGAGGAATGAGTTTTTCAAGTTGTTCGAATTTATTTATATCTCCGTTCCCGATTAGAAATGTGAATACCTTGAACCTTTGTTTCTCACCTCTGCGCGCATTGACAAGAATATTATTCTGACACTTTATTTTCCACTTGTGTTGCGATGTACGATGTACGGATATGATCATTGCGTATTGACACTTGCTGATAGATAATGGCGCGCGTATAGTTTGCTTCCGCTTGACAATAACAATCACTGATGTTTCGTTACAGACGTTAGGAGGCGCCCGAAATACATTTCGGTAACTCAGGTGAGGATAACCGAACTTTTGTACCAGGTACTTCATCACTTACTACGATGCAGAGCAACGGTTCGGAGAGTGTAGGATCTGAGAACGGAGTCGACAAATCGGGATGGACAGTACGTATGATTGTACCGATTGTGCGAGCAATTCACACGGCAAAAATTATTCAACCGAAACTACATAGAGATATTACTTTCATCTTATTTCGTAGTAGTATCGCAGGCACCAGTCTTATAGGCGATATAAAGTACCACCATCTAATAATAATAATAATGACTCGAATGATTCCGAGTCATTATCGAGCAAATTTGTGCACCGCCCTCCCGGTGCGTGTTGCAAAGAAAAGAATTCTCTATTCGCCCAATGATAATAGATAGAAGGAACGAATGTTTTACGGTTCTGCACGCAATGATGATAACTTGGGATTTCCTTTCCAGGTTGGATTAATCAACGGAAAGTTGAAGTATTTAACGGCAGAGACGTTTGGTTTTAAAATCAACGCCAACGGATCGAGCTTGAAAAAGAAGCAACTGTGGACTCTGGAAGGCAGTGAGCATCAAGTTTTTCTTCGCTCTCACTTGGATCGGTACCTAGCGGTCGACCAATTTGGCAATGTAACGTGCGAGAGTGAGGACTCGACGGATCCGGGATGCGCTTTTCAGATACAACTCGCTTCCGATGGTCAGCATGTACTTGATTCCTACGCGAATATTACTCTTACGCGTCATGTCACGCGTTCAGTCCGTCTACATCTTCCATTTCGAGTTCATCTATACAGTGTGTGTGTGTGTGTGTGTGTGTGTGTGTGTGCGTGCGTGTGTGTGTGTGTGTGTGTGTGTGTGTGTGTGTACACATGTGTGGGCATATGCGTGCTGACATTACACGTCGTGACAACACTAGATTAGACAACCGCCAAATTTCCAAATTCAAAAATTTTCGAATTGTAACGAGACAGTGACTCTATTTTCGTCTCTTGTCTCTGTATCTCATCTATATTATTTCTCAAATGGCGGTTATCCAAAATTTCGTAACCAACAGATGAAAGAAAAGAAAAAGAAAAAGAGAGAAGATAAGAAAAGAAAACGGATAAATTGACCGACGATTCTCAGGCGATCGATGCAACAAATTACAGGAAGCGGACGATGGGCGCTGAAGAACATTCAGAGAGGTTACTTCTTAGGCTCGAGTCAAGATGAATTGAAGTGCACCGCTAAGGCTCCGGGTGAGGCGGAATACTGGCTCGTACATCTCGCCGCTAGACCGCAGGTAAAGGTTCGATACCACTGCAAATTCGCATGTTGAAATCTCCTCGTTGACGCGATTACGCGTTACGTTGAACCGATCGCGAGTGACTCGATCTTTGTAAGTTGACGCGCGACTGCCTGTTGATAAATGTTCCGTCGACCGAGTAATGACACGGGCAAAGTTTCCCACTCAACACTACTCGTTTCTACTTTGAGAAAAGTAACTGGGGATATCTGAGTTATCAGAATGCGCCATGCGCCATGACATGATGACACATCTCATAGTGTTCTCTGATGATCACTCGAATAATCTAGGTGAACCTTCGGTCCGCCGGGAGGAAACGTTTCGCACACTTGAGCGCTACCCAGGACGAGATCCACGTGGATGCACCGGTACCCTGGGGTGAGGACACCCTGTTTACTTTGGAATTTCGTCCAGCGACCATGGCTGACGACGACAGCCACGGGGGGGATCGTGCCAAGTCCGAAGGCGGCCATTACGCTCTGCATACTTGCAATAATAAATACCTCGCCCGTGACGGCAAGCTTCTCGACGCTTGTACGCGAGACTGCC